ACCTCGTCTTTCTCTCCCCCCCCCCTTTCTCTCCCCCCCCTGAATCCGGATGCATGCATTCTTTGCGTTATCCCTGGGCGTCTTCATCTTTTTCTCCCCCCCTTCCCCCCCTGACCCCCCCCTTTTTCCCCGCCCCTCCTGAATCTTTTGGGATCTGTGCGTGTGTGTGTGTGTGTGGTGTGTGTCGTGTGTTGTGTATGTGTGTGTGTGTGTGTGTGTGTGCGTCTCTTCGCGTGTCCCTGGGCGCCCTCATCTTTCTCCCCCCCCTCTCTCCTTCCCCCCTGGATCCCGGGATGTGCATGCATGTCTTTGCGTATCCCTGGGCGTCTTCTTCTTTTTCTCCCCCCCCCTATCTCCCTCCCCTTCCCCCCGCCCGCTCCTGAATCTTGGGATCTGTGTGCGTCTCTTCGCGTGTCCCTGGGCGCCCTCGTCTTTCTCCCCCCACCCTCTCCTCCCCCCTCTCCTGAGTTTTGGGGCATGCATGCAGTTCTTTCCGTGCCCCTGGGCGCCCTCATCCCCCCCCTCTCTCCCTTTTCCCCCTTCCTCCCCCTCCTGAGTCTTAGGATTCGTGTGTGCGTTGCTAGGCGTGCCCCTGCGTGCCTTCATCTCTCTCCCGCCCCCTCTCCCCCATCTCCTTCCCCCGCTCCCTCCTGAACCCTGGGACTGGAGTGTAGTTCTTCGCGTGTCCCTGGCGCCCTGATCTCGCTCGCCCCCCCGTTTCTCTCACTCTCCCCCCCCCTTCTGGATCCTAGGATTTGTGAATTTCTTTGCGTGTCCCTGGGCGCCTTCATCTCTCTCTCGCTCTCTCTCTCTCTCTCTCTCTCTCTCTCTCTCTCCCCCCCCCCCTCTCTCCTTCTCCTTCCCCCCCTAAATCTGTGGATTTGTGTGTATTTCTTTGTGTGCCCCGGGGCGCCTTCATCTCTCTCTCCCCGCCCTCTCTCCCTCTCCTTCCCTCGCCCCCCTTCCCTCATTGAATCCTTGGTTTTTGTATGTTTTGTTTGTTTTTCTCTGGGTGCCTTCAATTCCTTTTTTTGCAGATAATTCCTCCCTGTCGTACCCCAAGGCTGGTCGAAAGGACGCGTCGGTCGTTTCGCCTGAGACTTCTTCTCGTTCCTTATGACCCCGATGCTTAAACAATGACAATTCTTTCGCAGATGGAGGGCAGGTGGTTTCCAACATGTGGCGATCGCATTAGCGCAACGCATATTTTTTAACATGTGCAAGGGTTTCACACATTGATGGCGGGTGGTATTCAAAATGCGGCTCTCTCCTCAGCGTTGCGCACATTCGCTGTGAACCTGTACAAGGGTTTCACATAGTGACGGCGGGTGATTTTCAAAATGCGGCTCTCTCTTTAGCGCCGCGCACGTTCGTTCTAAACATTTGCAAGGGCTTCACGGATTGAAGGCGGGCCTGTTTTTAAGGGGGCGCACACCCGTAGGGTGCTGCGCGGGCACAACTCGCAGGTCGGCCGACGGGCCCTGCGGCGCCGCGGCGCGTGCGACGCGCGCCGCATGCAGCCCGACCGCAGCGCGCACCGCCCGCAGTCGCGTCTTTGCGCTTCTGTGTTGTTTCGCGCGGGCCTGCCGCGGTCGCTCGCGCAGGCGCGCCGCGGGGATCGCGCGCTGGGCGGATCGCGGCGCGCCTTGGCGATGCTCGCTTCGCAGGTTGTCGATTATTGATTTGGGCACCGCGCTCGTGCGGCGCTCGCGCGGCGCGGGCCCGTCGGCCGTTCTGCCCCACCCACCCGCTCCTGGGTGCGGGGCTGCCTCGGTCGTTGGCGGCCCCTTGTCCGCCTCTCCCGCCCGCCCTTGGGGTTCAACGTCCAGGCTGGCCTGGTCGGGGACTGTGCGCGTCACCGAAAGCACCCCCCACGCGGGGCGCTCGCGGGACGGCAGCCCTGGCTCGGTCGCCGCACCCATCGTTGGGGCGTTGGCGCCCGAGGTCGGGTACACAAGGAAGGTACGCCGAGATTTGTGTGTGGCTTTCGCCGCAGCGCCGCGTGCATTCGTTGCAACATCTTGCCAGAGTTTCGCGGATTGAGGGCGGGTGGTTTTCAAAATGTAGTTCTCGCTTTCTCGCCGCGCGCAGTCTGACGGCGGGTGGGATTCAAACATTGGTTGTCGCTTCAGCGTTGTGCGCATTCGTTTTACACGTGACAAGCTTTTCACGGATTGAGGGCGGCTCCTTCCCAACGTGTGGCCGTTCTTTTAACGCCGCGCGCATGTGCTTTGAACAAGTGCAAGAGTTTCACGGATGGAACGATTCAGGGGTGTCAGGGCGCAACAGCCACGTTTATTCGTGGTGTTGAAGTCCGGGGAATTTTGGAACAGTTCAGACGTAACGGTCAGGTTGTTTCGTGAGTTGAGGTCTTGAGAACGGTGTTTTGGCACGCGTCAGGATGTTCACGCGGTTGCCCCGCCAGCGGCGCATTTTTTTCAGCGGGCATGACCATTTGTAGGGCCTGCGAAGAGGGATGTTGGAGGGAGGGTGTATTCCAACATCGTTGATGAGCCTTGTGTTTGCAATGGTCTCTCTCCCCCCTCCTTCCCCCCCTGCTGGATCCTGGGATGTGCGCTTCGCGTGCCCCTGAGCGCCTTCATCTCCTCCCCCCTCCCTCTCTCCCCCCCCCCTCGAATCCTACGACTTGTGTGTATTTCTGAGCGTGTCCCTGGGCGCCTTCATTTCCCTCCCTCCCCCCTCTCTCTCCCTCTCTCCCCCCCCCCTCGAATCGTAGGATTTGTGTGTAATTCCTTGCGTGTCCGTGGGCGCCTCCATCTCCGCCCCTCTCTCCTTCTCCTTCCCCCCTTGAATCCTCGGGTTCGTGTGTATTTATGTTCGTGTCCTTGGACGTCCTCATCTCCCCGCCTCTCTCTCCCTCTCCTTCCCCCGCCACCTCCTGGATCTTGGGATTTGCTTGCATTCCTAGGTGTTTCCATGGGCGCCTTCGTCTCTTCCCCCCCCCCCTGTCTTCCCTCCGCCCCCCCCCCCCCCCCCCCCCCACCCTCCTGAGTCTTGGTGTGTGTGTGTGTGTACTTCTTCGCGTGCCCCTGGGCGCCTCCATCTCTCTCCCCCCCTGAATCCTCGGATTTGTGTATTTCGTTGTGCCCCTGGGCGCCTTCACCCCCTTCTGACCCTGTCCTTCCCCCCCTCCGTCCTGAACCCTTGGATTTGGCAATATGTTTGCGCGTTCCCTTGGGCGCCTTCATCTCTCTCTCCCCCCTCTCTCCCTGTCCTCCCCCCCTCCTGAATCTTGGAAGTTGTGTGTAATTCGTTGTGTGTCCCTGGGCGTTTTCACCTCCCTCCCTCCCCCCCCCTCTCCCTCTCTTTCCCCCCGCCCCCCCCGCGCCGCTACCGCTGCCACCGCCGCTCCCGATGCCTGTGGTCTGCGTGCATTTCGCTGCGTGTCCCTGGGCGCCCCCACTCCCCCCCCCTTCCGCCTCTCCCTCTCCTTCCGCCCCCCTTGGATCTTGGGCTGTGTGTGTGTTTCTGCGCGTGTCCCTGGGCGCCTTCATCTCCCTCCTCCTCCTCCTCCTCCTTCTCCTTCTCCTCCTCCTCCTCCTCCTCCTCCTCCTCCTCCTCCTCCTCCTCCTCCCCCTCCGTCCTCCTCCTCCTCCTCCTCCTCCTCCGCCTCCTACTCCCCCTCCTCCTCCTCCTCCTCCTCCTCCTCCGCCCCTCCTCCTGTTCCCCCTCCTCCTCCTTTTCCTCCTCCTCCTTCCGCCCTCCGCCTCTCCTTCCCCCCCCCCCCCCCCCTTTCCGAGTCAGGGCTTGCTGCATCTCGTCGTGTGTCCCTGGGGGCGCGTTCGCCCCCCCGCCCTCTCCCCCTCCTCCCTGACCCCCCCCTCCTCCTGACTCTTGGGTTTGTGTGTGTGCTTCTGCGAGTGCCCCTGGGCGCCATCACCTCCCCCCCCCCCCCCTTTCTCTCCTTCTTTCTTCTCCTCCCCCCCTCCCCTCCCCTCCCGAATCCTCGGATGTGTGTGTGTGTGTGTGTTTGTGTGTGTGTGTGTGTGTGTGTGTGTTTGTGTGTGTGTGTGTATGTGTGTGTGTGTGTGTGTGTGTGCGTGTGTGTGTGTGTAAGTATTGGTGTATCCCTGCCCTCTCCCACTCCCCCCACCCTCCCCCCCTTACCCCTCGCGAACCCTTGGCTTGTGCGTTTTCCTTTGTATGTTCCTGGGCGCCTTCATATCTCTCCTCCCCCTCCCCTGACTCCTGGGATTTGTACGTATTTCTTCGTGCGTTCCTGAGCGCCTTCATCTCTCTCTCCCCTCACCCTCTCTCCCTTTCATTCCCCCCCTCCTGGATCCCGGGATTTGTGTGTATGTCTTTGTGTGTCCCTAGGCGTATTCATCTCTCCATCCCCTTCTCTCCCTCTCCTTCGCCCCCCTCCCGCGCCCCTCCTGAATCCTGAGATTTGCATGTATTTCTTTGTGTGTGTGTGCGCGCGTGTGTGTGTGTGTGTCCCTGGGAGCCTTCAGGTCTCCCCCCTCTCTCCCTCACCTCCCCCCTCCTGAAGTTTGGGATTTGTGTGCATGTCGTAGTGTGTGCCTGGGCGCCTTCATCTCTCTCTCCCCCCCCTCTCTCCCTCTCCTTCCCATCCACCCTCCTGAAGTTTGGGATTTGTGTGCAGTTCTTAGTGCGTGCCTCGGCGCCTTCATCTCTCTCTCCCCTCCTTCTCTCCCTCTCCTTCCCATCCCCCTCCTGAATCCAGGGACTTGTGTGTACTTCTCTGCGCGACCCTGGGCGCCTTCATCTCCCTCCGCCCCCCTCTCCCTCCCTCTCCCCCCCCCTTCCCCTCGTGGATCCTTGGGTTTTAGCGTGAGTGCTTCTCTCTGTGTCCCTGCTGGGCGCCTTCATCTCCCCCCCCCCCCTCGCTCCCCCTCCCCCCCCCCCCCCTCGCGCTCCCGCTCCGCTCCCCCCCCCCGCCGCCCCCCCCGCCGCGGCGGGAGAGGGAGGCGCCCGGGGGGGGGAGGGGGGAGGCCGCCGCCTCTCTCGCCCTGCAGGAGGCGATGAAGAAGAAGGCCGAGGAGGCCGCGGCCAAGAAGGCGGCGGAGGCGGCGAAGGCCGAGGGCAAGGAGGAGGAGGCGCCGGGGGCGGCAGCAGTGGGGGGAGGTGCTGCCTAAGGGGGAGGGGGGAGACCAGGGAGGGGGGCCATGACATCTCCCCGGGTGTCATGGCGCCTCGCCCGTGCTTCAGCACGACCGTTCCTCCTCCTCCTCCTCCTCCTCCTCCTCCTCCTCCTCCTCCGCCTCCCTCCCCTCCTCCTCCCCCTCCTCCCCCCCTCCTCCTCCTCCCCCTCCTCCTCCTCCTCCTCCTCCTCCTCCTCATCCTCCTCCTCCTCATGGCGCCTCGCCCTTGCTTCAACACGACCATGCCCCATCCCCCCCCCCCTGGGCCGCGCACGTGGGGGGTGATGACTGGGGGGGAGGATGCCATTCAGGCGATCGCACACACGGATTAAGGGGGCGTGGAAGGGCGGCGGGTCCCGTTGCCATGGGGAAGCGCAGGTTTCCGCCGCTGAGCGAGGCCGCACCCGTCGCATGTTGGGGAGGGCACCTTCCCCGATCCATGGATTTGGCGACCGCGCGCCAAGTCCATGAATCGCTAATCCATGCTTGCGCGCCCCCGAACCATGGCGGGGGCCATGACATCTCCCCAGATTTCATGGCGCCTCGCCTTGTTTCAACACGTCCACGTCCCTGCCCCCCCCCCCCTGGGCCGCGCACGTGCCGCTGGCCATAATTTGGTCCCCCCCCCCATTGGACGCCCCCCTCTTGGCCGCCCCCGAAGGCGAAAGAGGAGGCGAAGGAGGAGGCAAAGGAGGACCCCCGCCGACGTCCCCGTCGCTGCTGGCCTCCTCCGCCGTCTCCCAGAGGTCGCCCGTGGCGGTGGCCCCCGCACGTCTCTCGTGCCCGGAGGGTGGGGCGGGAGGAGGGGGCGGGAAGAGGGGGAGGGAGGAGAGGGGGAAAGGAGGAGGAGAGGCGGGGGAGGGGGGGAGGATGGGGAGGATGAGGAGGTGGTGGAGGAGGAGGAGGAGGAGGAGGAGGCGGGGGAGGGAGATGAGGAGAAGTTGGGGTCGGGAGGAAGAGGATGATGTGTTCTTTCTTCGAAGAAGTAGAGAAGCGTAATACTTTTGCTCTCTCTCTCTATATATATATATAGATTCCTCTTTTTTGTTGTTTGTTGTTCTCTCTCTCTCTCTCTCTCTCTCTTTTTACTTTCTCCCAGGGGGCGTCCAGGGCCACAATTGTCGGGTTCTCTTGGAGCCATCTCGGATGATATCGATCAACGTTGGAGACCATCTTGGGCTATCTTGGGCCATCCTGGGGCCATCTTGGAGCCTTCGTGAGGGCCTCTTGAAGCTCTCTCTGAAGCCCTTCTGAAGCGAAACGGCGAGAATGCAGAGCGCACTGGTGCTCCTGAGGATTCGGAAGAATTTGGGCCTGTCGTGGGCGTCCTTGGGAGGCTCCGCTGCCACTTGGAGCTGTCTTGGAGCGGTCTCGTGGCCTCGTGGCCCATCTTGGAGGCTGCCTCGAGCCATCTTGGGGTGTCTGGACCCATCTTGGATGCCACGTGGAGGTTTCTGCGGCGATCCTGGAGCCATCTTGGGCCACCTTCGGTGCTCTCACCGCTCGCCCCTCCCCCCGCCCAGACCCAGGGGCAGGCGGCAGGGAGGGGAAAGCCTCTCCCCGAGCCTCTCCCCGAACGGGGGAGAGGACATATGTACGATGTTCGCCCTAAAGGGCTGGCGGGGTTCCTCTCCTGCATCCTCTTGGCACCACCCACACATCAGAGCGAGGGGGGGCGAACGGTCATGCACTGTCCCTGGGTGCGTGGCGGAAGCGGGCTTCCACGGTGCGGACTGTCGTTGCGCTGTTGTTTGCTGCTGTCGGTCGTTCGACTCGCGACCCGGCCCGCGACCCACCCGCGACCCGCCCGCGACCCACCCGCGGCCCACCCGAGACCCACCCGCGACCCACCCGCGACCTGCACAGGACCCTCCCAAGGCGCACGCAAGAGCGCCACCCCGCGGCCCCCCCCGCGACCCCCCCCCGCGCCCGCTCCCTCGCTCCTGTCCGCAGTTGCGGGGAGGAGGAGGAGGAGGAGGAGGAGGAGGAGGAGGAGAAGATGCTCACGCCATTCCGCAGGCTCCCAGAAGAGGCGGGGGGTCCACGGTTTGGTCGTCGTGAGTGTCTTGGGCACTGTCCAGGGACTCTTGTGGGCGTCCTGGGAGCTGCTTGCGGGCCTGCTTGCGTCTCTTGGAGGCAGGTTGGAAGCGTCTTGGGGGCCGTCTGGGGACGCCTTTTGGGGCCTCTCGGGTGCCTCTTTTGGACCCAGGGGGAGGGGGAAAGGGGAAGGGGGACAGCCAATCATCTCACACGCCTTCTCAACCCCGGCCAGCGGAGGGGCCTGCGGATACTAGACGTGCGTCGGCCTCGCGTGGGCGACGCGCACGCCAGGACATCGTACAGTATAAGCTCCGTGGACGTCCCCAACAGAGGCACAATACTAGCATGTCCTTCCGCGTCCCATCCTTCCTCCCTGCGCCTACGCTGACACCAGTGATGGCTGCAGTTGTGGATAGAGAGTGAAGGGGTGGTGGTGTGCTCGGAAGGTCTGAGGGGCTCGAGGGCGAATGTGAAGAAGCTCGCCGCGGCGCTGAATGTTCATCAAATTCATGTGGGTGGTTTTCGGTTGTAGTTTATGGGAGCCTTGTATACCCTCAGAGCGCAGAAGCGTCGACTAGCGTCTGGCAATCGAAGATGTCGCGCCGCTTTAGCGTCGACTAGCGTCTGGCAATCGATGATGTCGCTTCCCGACTCGACGTTGATTCATCTTGCCCGCCAGGAGCCCAAAGAGGAGGACGTGAAGAAAGAGGAGCCCGAAACCAAGGATGGAGGGGCAACAACCGGTGTAAGCATAATGTCTCGGAGGTCCCTTGCGTACGAAAGGTTCGTGTCGTGTCGACTGGCGGCGACCCCGCCGCTGGCGTTCAAGGTTTAACGCGGCTGGAGCCCCAGGATCGAGCAACGTTGAGCGATCGGGCGTTGAGGGAACATCCGATCGTTCAAGGTTGAACGACCTCCGCTGGGTCGGTTACCAACGTCGGGGTCGACACGGCGCGAACCTGCGGTATTGTTTGGGTCAGCTCCTGGCCTCTGCCACCGCACACCTGGGTGGTGCATCCAGCAGCGCTCCCGACGCGATCCGCGAGCAGGGGAGGGGGTGCGGGGAGGGGGGGCCCAGCGCCGACCCAAGACATCCGCGCGGACCTCCTGACGCTCATGTTTCTGCCGTGCATCGTTCTTCCAAACAGGAGGAGGAGAAGGAGGAGGAGGAGGAAGAGGACGAGCCGATGCCCGTGGCGGAGCTCACCGAGGAGGAGAAAGCGCAGTGTTTCAATACTACTTCGCTCAGCGATCTTTCCCCCAGCGAGATGTCCAAGGCGTTCGGCCAGTTCTCGATCCCCACCAAGGCCGAGGGCTTCGACGAGGTCCACTTCGAGTGGTCCGACGAGAAGGCCAGCAAGAAGCTTGTGAAGGATTACGTGGTGAAGGCGAGAAGGGATGGCTCAACCTGTGAGTCGGAATTTCAGGATTCATGCAGAGGAAGAGGAGGAGTATAATGAGGATGATGATGATGCTGCTGATGCTGATGCTGATGCTGATGCTGAGGATGAGGATGAGGATGAGGATGAGGATGAGGATGATGATGATGATGATGATGATGATGATGATGATGATGATGATGATGATGATGATGCTGATGATGATGATGATGATGATGATGCTGATGCTGATGCTGATGCTGATGCTGATGCTGATGCTGATGCTGATGTGATGAGAGGAGGAGGAGGAGGAGGAGGAGAGGAGGAGGAGGAGGAGGAGGGGAGGTTCAGGAAGGAAGCTAAGAGGAGGCACGTGAACGAGGAGGAGGAGAGGAGGAGGAGGAGGAGGACGAGGAGGAGGAGGAGGAGGAGGAGGACGAGGAGGAGGGGAGGAGGAGGAGGAGGAGGAGGAAGAGGAGGAGGCGGAGGAGGAGAGGAGAGGAGGGAGGAGGAGCACGAACGTGGAGGGAGGAGGAGGAGGAGCAGGAGGAGGAGGAGGAGGAGGAGGAGGAGAGGAGGAGGAGGAGGAGGAGGAGGAGGAGGCGGAGGAGGAGGAGGAGGAGGAGGAGGGAGGAGGAGCACGAAGTGGAGGGAGGAGGAGAGAGAGGAGGAGGAGGAGGGCGAGAAGAGGAGTGGAGGGAGGGGGAGGGGGAGGGAGGAGGAGGGAGCGAGGGAGGGAGGGAGGGAGGGAGGGAGGGGGGAGGAGGAGGAGGAGGAGGAGGAGGAGGAGGAGGGGGGGAGGGGTCATGCGTCCCCGAATTCAGGCGAAGATCACCTCTCGCATCGACGACCTCAAGCCCGGAGAGTGGTTCACTACAACCAAGGAGGCTTTTCTCCTCATTCTCGTCCTACCTCCCTCCTATTTCCTCGACTCCTCTTCCCTGCCCTCGTCGTTCTCTTCATTCCTGTCCTCCCCGACTTCTATGTCCTTCCTCTCCTCCTCTTTGTCCTTTTCTGCTCAGGCGTTTGATAAGTTCGCCGCCGAATGCCAGGAGAAGACGAAGAAGAAGGATCTCGGCGGAGCGATAACAATCGCGTAAGAAAGGGAGAGAGTGAGACAGATAGAGACGGAGAGAGAGAGAGAGAGAGAGCGAGAGATGTAGAGAGCGAGAGATACAGAGAGGGAGAAGACAGAGAGAGAGAGAGAGATGTGGGCCGCCCGGCCTGACTTACCCCCTCTCTTTGCTGGCGCGGGTGATTGGTGTCTCTGCTGACGTTGGCACCTGTTGGCGCGGGTGTCAGCACAGACTTTGCCCCTGAAGGATGCCACATCTCAAGCCTTGAGGACAATTTTGAGCGAGGAGGGGTGCCTAAGAAGCACGGTGCAACACCGAGAAGGTGGAATACGCACGATGGCGGATGACGGGAAGCGTTTTCGAGGTACGAGAAGCGAGATGCACGTTCCGGTTGAATCTGCAACATTTATTTTAAACCGTAGTTTGCTGCGCTTTATGCTTTGTTGGCGGATGACGGGAAAAGCACTAAGACTCGAAGAGTCGTGCGATGGACGTCGGTGCAGACCCGGAGGGAAATATGCTTCAATGTGGGAGGTGCAGGAGGGGAAGTGTTCGGGGTACGTCCTTGATCGGCGCTTGGCGGATGACGGGAAGCGTCTTCGAAGGCCCTGGCTCGAGCGATTTTGGCGTCGTTTCTCGTGCCCGCGGGGTCGCAAACCCCCGCGCAGCATGATCATCAATCGATGGCGGGACATGTCATGTTTCGTTCTTCTTTTGCGCGCCATCGCTAGCCGAAGTTCGCCACGCTGGATGGCCGAGCGTTCGGTGGCGGCACGACCACCGTGGAGCTCCGTGTCGCAGGATGACTACTATGTCGGGAACGAGCCAGTGCACAGCATATGGAGCTATCACCGCGCTCGCCGCGCTATGCTCGCCAACGGGCGGGTGTGGCCTGAGGTCAACCTTCATGTAGTCCAGGACGTCGCGGCACACTCCAGCTATGTGGTTACTTCAGATGGCGTCACAACTTACTCGCTCGAAGCCCGGATCTGGGATCGTCCCAGCTACATCATCACGCCTTCCCCGCGGCTAGAGCCCACGCGGAAGGCTTCACGGTGGGCTGGGACAACTGGTGGGCAGCCAAGCTCTTTGCCAAGGAGCGCGCAGCGGCGGTCTTTGCAGGCAATGGTGCCAGCAAAGGAGTGGACCCACCGCGTGGGTAGCCCAGTGCCCGACCCTCGGGCCAGACGGGTGCGCTTCTTGGACCGCCCGGCGTTCCACGACATCGAAGAAACATAAGAAGAAGAGGAATAAGTTGATGGTGCACAGTGTTTTGGGTCTCGACACTACCTACCTACCACGCGATCAACGACCACCACCCGAAGAAGAGGCTCAGCCGGTTCGGGAGAATAAGAGGTCCAAGGCAGGTCCAACAGGTGGGGCATCGGCAGGGCCACCTCGACAACTACGACGCCATCCTTTGCGCCCAGGAGACGGCCGCCCCGTGAGAGTGCACCCGCTCCTGCCCATGAGCGGGAGGTGCGTCGCTGGGCACGGAGCTGGATCCGCAGCGCTAGGGACGGAGCCCAACCAGATGGCGAGGGTGAGTGGAAAGACTGGTGCGAGGCCTACCTCGCAGTGGAGTTCCAGTATTTGCGTTTCCAATGGGCGCTCGCAGCCCGGGGCCAAATTGCTGAACAACTTGCGCGCGAGACTTGTGGCCGCGCGTGGCGCGAGGGCGCCAACCGCAGGGCTGCTTCCCTACGATGGTTCGACGCGCTCTCGCCTGCAGCGCGGGGCGCTGCATGCGGCGTGCACCAGTATGATCAGGATCAAGTGCGGAGCATGACTGCCAATCCGATGCGGGCAGGGCCAGCGCCGCCCACGGAGAAGCCTCGACGTCCACGCTGGCAGCCGCGTCCGCGCTTGTACTCGGCGACGACAGCATCTCCGCTGGCACTGGGCCCCTTCTCGGGACCAGATGATCGTCGGGGCTTCTGTGCACGTGGGCCGACGCTCCACTGAGCGACCCCCAAGACACCGACGCCGAAGTGGCGCCGACAACGCGTACTGAGCTCTCTGCGGGCTTGGCAGCGCTGGTCCACGGCAGAGGCGGAGGCGCCATCAGCGACGCCCTGCGCTCCCAGGACCGCGTGCCCCGCGCCCTTGCCTCAATGGATCGCCCGCAGTTGGTGCTGGGCGCCTATGGCGCCGCCGTGGAGAAGAACGTGGCCGAGAGCATCTCGCTGCCCGCGGCCCCCCAGGCGGCGCCCGCTGCCGGCGCGGCCCTGGAGCTCGAGGGCAAGGCCAGGGCGAGGTTGGGCATGGGCCGCGCGGTGGAGTCCTACAACTGCGAGGGCGGGGCCGCCAAGGCGGCGGCCGCGGAGGCGGGCGAGGCGCACGGGGGGCGCCCGCAGGGCAAGGCGCCCCGACGCCCTGCCCCGAACGAGCCTGCACCACCTACATTTGACACTTCGAGGGCGCGGGGCCGCCCCGAAGGAGGACAAGACCGAGAACGGCCAACAGCAGGTCCAGGTGTTTTCGAAAGCGGTGGCCATTGCTGGCGAGGTGGCCCACCTAACGCGCCTGTGCCAAGCGGAGCGCTGCTTCCTGGTAGAGCGCGAGGACAGCGTGAAGGAGGGCGAGATTCGCTGGACCAGAGCGACTGACCGTCACCGCGTGCTGATCGCATCCGTCCCACAACCCTGCGGGGCGTTTGACGCGGCAGGAGCTTGCGGGACTTGAGATCAACGGCGACAATGCTCCTCGCGCCACGCCGCGAGCCCAAGGAATCGAAGTAGTAGACTGCGATGTTAGGTTTAGTTCAGGTGAGTCCACCAGGTTGCATGCACCAGTGCTCACTTCTTCAGTAAAGCCTACTGCAGGCGCAACGCTTGTGCCTCTTCGTCCGCCCCCATTCCTTTTCGGCCCGCTGCGTCGGTGACTTTGAGTTTGGCTCGGCCCGCAGCCCTGCCCGTGAATAGCCTGGGGCGTTGCCGACTTCGCATTGTTGGTGAGGGCGGCCCCCGCTAATTATGCTGCACTATGCTTATCTTGCGCATGATGTGTTGCGCCGTTTGAAAATCACTGCTCGCCGCCAGCCCGAGGAAAAGGGTCGCGTGCTGATGCGCGGGCTTCACCAGGAGATTGTTTTTTTTTTATCCTCTGGGGGGTAACGCTCGTTACCCGGGCCTCTCCCCCCCCCCCCCCCCGTAACGGTAACGCTCGTACGCGGGGGGGGTCTCGGTCTTCCCCTCCAACATGCTGGTGCCCGAAGGCATGCGCACTGTGGTGTGGTGGTCGCAGGCGCACTGTGGGCGCTCGCAGGCCATTGCGGCGCTCGCATGCGCGATGCTGGTGCTTGCGGGCTTTGCGCTTGTACTCGAATCGTCGTCGTCGTCGTCGTCGTCGTCGTCGTCGTCGTCGTCGTCGTCGTCGTCGACGGCGCCCGAAAACGGCCTCCGGAGGCCGAAACAGGCGGCAAACGTCGTCGTCGTCGTCGTCGACCTCGTCGCTCGTCGCTCGTCGATCATCGTCGTCGCGCGCGCGGGCGCGGGCGTGGTGCCGGGACCACGCGGCGGGCTTTGCGCTTGTACTCGAATCGCAAGCCACTGTGGTGCTCTCAGGCAGAGAGTGCTGCTCGCGCGCATACTATGGCGATCGCAGAGCGCCCCTGCTTCGCCATACCCCGCCCAGCCCAAGCGTTACCGTTACCCGGGGGGCACGACCCCCCCCCCCCCCCGGGTAACGAGCGTTACCGGCCGGAATAAAAAAATGATCTCCAGTGGGTGGTGAGCTTCGTATGTTGCGTCCGTGGGCGCGCGCGCGCGGGCCGACCTTGCCGTTGGCTTTGCGAGGGCTCGCGAGACCTCTGCGTCGGGATTGCGCTTTCAAAAAATCGCCTTTGAGGCGCAAGACGCGAGCTGGATTTTCTGGCTGAATCTCTGCCATCTCTCGAGATTCTCATTATCTACCGCTCAGGATCGCGCGCCGAAATGGCTTGGCAGGCGACGGGAAGCGCGCGGAGATGGACGTTGTTATCGACCCAGGAGGGGAAGGTCAGAGGTGATATTTTCATTGGGGGGGGGGGGGGTTTGGGGGGAAAGGGTTCGGGGCTGCTCCGTCGTTTAAGACTTGGTGGATTCCGGACAAGGGCGTTTCGCTCGAGACAGCGCCAAGACGGCCCAAACCAGACTTCCAATGATTGCGATTTCGCTAGGGGCATCCTTCAAACGGCGAATGTGTCCAACACATGCTTTGCACTGGTTTTTGAGCGCATCCAGACGGCACCAAAGAGCTCCAAACGAGCTCACATCTGATTCCAAGAGCGCCTTTAAGACGACCGGCAATGACGATTCCGCTAGGGTCATCCTCACCAAACCAAGATCTTAACAACATCGGCTCTTGCAGAGAAGCAGCTCGCCTGATACATCCTCCCCAAATGGGACGTTGGAGGGTCGGCCTTGCGACGATGCTTCTAACAGTGAGGCTCTGGCTGCAGACAGTCTCAGGAAATTGCTATGTTGATGCTGCTCGCGATTTGTTCGTACCGTTAGAAATTTGATTCTTGCTGCAGACGTCCTCGAACCACGCAGCCTCGGATCAACTGTTCTCGGCGCCGTGCGTGCACAGGTGCGCGGCAGACCACAGGAGCACGGCAGACCACGCATGAACGCGGCAGACCACAGGAGCACGGCAGACCATAGGTTCACGGCAGACAACGCAGGCGCACGGCAGACTGAACACGAGCACGGCAGAGCATAAACGCCCGGCAGACAGCAGGAGCACAGCCTCTTCGGGGAGCACGCCAGACCACGCAGGAGCACGGCAGACCACGCAGGAGCATTGCGCCGCATACCACGCAGGAGCACTGCATACCAAACAGGAGCATGGCAAGCCACGCGGGAGCACGGCAGACCGCGCGCAGGAGCACGGCAGACCATAGGCGCACCGCAGACCAAACAGGCGCATGGCAGACCACGCGGGAGCGCGGCAGGCCGCGCAGAGAGCATAGCCGAGCACAGGATCACGGCAGATCGCACAGGAGCACGGCGGAGCACGCGGGAGCATGGCAGACCCTTACAGGCGAATGGCGGACGACGCAAGAGCACGGCAAACCTCGTAGGAGCACGACAGAGCGTATGAGCACGGCAGACAGAGCAAGCGCAGCAGACCGCAGTGGAGCATGGCAGACCACAGGAGCGCGGCAGACCACAGGATCACGGCAGACCGCGCAGGAGCACAGCGGATTTCGCAGGAGCACTGCGCGCGCGGCGGCCGCGGCTTTGGTTGCGCGCAGTCTTTGGGCGCTGCTGGGCGGCGGCGACCAGGCGTTCGCCGAAGTGGATCTCGAGATTGCCATGCGCGTGCTCGCCATGGCGCCAGCTATGCGCCAGCAGCTGCGGGGCGCGCGGCCACGCGGCAGGGGCCGCGCCTCGCGCAACGCCGGGGCCCGCGCCGACCTCGGCAAGGACGCGCCGACACGTCCGGCGGCCCCGCCCTCGGCCGCAGTTGAGGCAGCGGAGCGTTCGGAGCAGCCTGCGCCCGACGTCGGGCCGCCCAGAGCCGAGGCCGAGGCGCCTTCCGCCTCCGTCGAGCGGCGGAGCGGCGGGCCAGCCTCGCAGGGTGCTGCCGAGAGCGGTCTGACTGTGGAGGCCGCCACCTCCCCGCGTGAGTTCGGCGTCGCCGAGGTCCGGCGGCGTCGGAGAGGCCGCGCGGCCTCAGCCGGGCCCGCCTGGGGCGTGGGCCCCGGCGGCCGCCGGCACGGCCGTCGCCGAGGCGGAGGCGGGGGCGGGCGGCGGGCCCGGGCATTGGCGCCGCCGGCGCCGCCAGACTCCTCTCCGCGGCTCGGCGCGGCCACGTGCGTCGTCGTCCGCCGAGGAGTCCGGTGCATCAGTAGCCGCGGAGGCGGTTGTGGAGGAGGAGTCTTCCGAGGATGGCAGCCCCGAGTGCAACGGCGCCTCCGACGGCGGCGCTGGAGGGCCTTCCTCCTTCGGCGCTGGGCAGCGCGAGCGCGACGCGGGCTGGTGCGACGGCGAGCGGGCGGCGGCGGCGGCGACGGAGGCCGCGCGACTGGCAGCGGCGAAGTCTCACCGCGGTGCCGACGCGGAGGCGCGCGACCCCGCGTCAGAGGAGTCGCGTTGCCAGCAAGGCCCCCCGCCCCTGCCGGAGCTGACGTCGACGGGCTCGGCCCAGGTCAGCGCGTCGACCCCTGCCCCAGGCGTTGGGGGGTCGCCGGCCTCCGCCCGGGCGCGCCTAGCAGGGCAGCTGCGCGCGGCGCGATGCCGACGCTGAGCTGCACGACATGTTCGAGAAGAGTGGGTCCGAGAGCGTCGGCAAGCTGGAGGGGCTGGACTTCGGCCTCGAGGGCGTGGGACTGGCCGTCGTTAGCGACGCCTTGGCTGCCGGCGCCGACGCCCGCAGAAGCGCGGGCCCGCGTCGCGTGCAAGGAGACGCTGCCGCGGCGCAGCGCGATCGGGGCCAGGTCTGGCGCCGCCTCGGAGGGCGTCGACTGGCCATAGATCTCTCTCGTTCAAGTATCGCGCGGTGGGCGTCCTGGACGTCGCCAGAGGTTTTTTTTGATGATAACGAAGGCATCTTGGATGACCCGTCCAAGGTGTCCTTGCGGGATGTTCTCGGCCGTCTCGAGGACAGGGGAGTGGCCGGGCCGCCCGTTGTCGCAGCGAGTGCCTGGGATTCGGGTCGCCGCCTGCGCGAGCGGCGCTGACTTGCATAGCAGCGGCCGCGCTGCAGCTCTGTCTCATGAGCGGGCCCTCGGCGTCAGCAAGTCGGCCCGCAATGGGCTGTGGAGCGATGCGAGATGCTGGCCCCCAGGCTGCTTCACCTGCGAGCCGCGCCCCTGTGGGCCGAGGGCCCTCGCCGAGCGCGCCCAGACTGGGTGGGGCCCTCCGGCCAGGCTGTCCGCAGAGCGGTATCGCGAACTTGATGGGCTCAGTCGCGTGTGCAGGTATTTCGGCGCTTACACTGACTGAGAGTACGTGGCAGGGCACGGTTTGAATTTCCAGCCTCCCGTCGTCTCTTGTCGCGGTGTGGATCCTGGCTGCCGCCGTAGGCCCTGGGGAGCGTTTCGGCCTTCAAAGCACGGTGTTGCTTGTGAGTGATGCCTCCTGGACTTGTTTGCGCGCTGTTGGCCGTCCGCTATGCAGTCAGTGTCCATTCGCATTGGTGCCTCCTGTATCTGATTGCGTAATTGCGAGACCTGTCTACGCAGTTGAGGTGCCGCGAGGGGTGCGCGGCCCGCGGCGAGACGAGGCAGTCGCGGGCCTCTCGGCTGCCGCGCCTTCCGCATGGCGCCCCCCCTTGGGGAGGCATTCTTGCGGCCCCGGCCCCTCCGCGGGTTTTTTTTGGGCTTGTTTTCACGGCCCGGAGATTCGCGCGCGCATTCGGCGGGCCAGCGCGGCAGGCCAGCGCGGCAGACCAGCGCGGCGGACTGGCATGGCAGGCCAGCGCGGCAGACCAGCACGGCAAGCCAGCACCTCCGTAGCCATGTTCGCTCAAGGCCACCGCAAGTCGCCCGCTGCTGTTTGGGCGCGAGGGGCTCCTCGCTTTGGGCCAAGTGAAGCCTCTGGTTCGCGGTCTCCTCCAGAGGTGCGTCGGCGCGGCTCGCGCTGCGCAGGAGGTGCCACGGCCCGCTCGGCCCCCCGCTTCAGGAGCGGCGGCGGCGGCGAGTACTGGGCTCGCAGCACGTGCCGCGGAATCGCAGGTCGAGCGGTTCCAGGCGGTCGCCGAGCAGCTGAAGGCCCTTCGCGCGGCGCCGCCAGAGGGCGCTGCCAGCTGCTTCGTCGAGGCGGTGGCTAACCGTCTCGAGGTCAAGCGCGGCGAGCGGGAGCAGGCCCGCCAGGCGGCTGCCGAGGTCAAGTCAGCAGGGCTGCCGAGGGCGGCGCGCATGCGCAAGGAGGCCCGGGCAGCTACATGGTTGTCGGCGGCCATTCTGGAGCCAGGCCCAGCCAGGCTCAGCGAGCAGCGCCCAGGGGCCAGAGCCGTCAAGTCGGGGCGCAGTCAGCTCAGCCCTTGGAGGAGTGGCCCGCACCCTGGGGAGCGCCGTCGCCAGCGGAAGCAGCGCGCGCGCGGCGCCGAAGTGCCCAGGTTCCGCCTCCAGGGCGAGGTGTTCGAGGGAGCGCGGGGACGCTTCGTCGCCTGGCCCGACGCGGCGCCATAGGTGGCCAGCGCGGCGGCCGAGGGCGCTGCGAGTTTGCAGCCAGCCCCCGCAGGCGGGCCAGCTGGCGCAAGCGGGGCCTCGGCGGTGGCTGCAACGCCTGGGGGCTCGGTCTCGGCGGGCTTCCTCGCGGCCCGCGGGCTGGGCGCGGCAGAGCTCGTGGCCTGGGGCGCGGAGGCCGCCAGCGCCGTCGAGCGCACGCGGGGGCGCAGGCGCCTCGCCTGCCGCGTGTCGAGGGCCGAGAGAGATAGCGACTAACATGACTAACATCCTGGGTTTGGCCTTCCCTACTCCGGTTGCCGTCCAGCTCACTCCCTTTTTTTGCGTCTTCACGCCTAAGTGTGCGGTTGAGTTATGTGAGGTTGCAGGCGCTAAGCGAGCGGAGTTCCAGTAGAGTCTGGTAACCCGAGTCCCCGGTGGCCCTATTTGAGCCCTCTCGCTTTGGAGGCCCGGCGTTTCGGGATGCGGTATGGGCCCGTTCGGTTATCCCGATGGCTTTGTCATGTCTGGGGCTCGGCGGGGGTTCGCGAGGCCCTAAGTTCTGCCCGAGGGGGCGGGCGGCCCTCCGCCGTGCCTTGGCCCAAAGCGGCCGCCCCTCTTTTCCTTTTCCGCTCCCTCTTTAGGGGTGCCCCCCCCCAAGCGTGTCAGGCCCAAACATTCGCATGCACATTCGGCAGGCCAGCGTGGCAGACCAGCACGGCAGACATGGCTGACCAGTACGTCAGACCAGCATGGCAGACCAGCACGGCAGACCAGCACGGCTGACCAGCACGGCAGACTAGCTCGGCAGGCCAGCACGGCAGACCAGAACGGCAGACCAGAACGGCAGGCCAGAACGGCCAGACAAGCACGGCAGACCAGCACGGCAGGCCAGCATTGTTGTCCAACAGTTGTGAAATAGTGTTGATTATGTTGTTGGTGATGATGGCGATGATGATGCGTATGATTGCGATGGTGCAAATGATTATGATATGGTGGTCATGTTGGTGCTGATGGTCGTGATGACGATGATGATGACGATGATGTTGGTGATGACGGTATGACGGTGATGATGATGATGATGATGCTGATGATGATGATGATGATGATGGTGGTGGTGATGGTGATGATGATGATGATGATGATGATGATGGTGGTGGTGGTGGTGATGTTGACGGTGATGGTGATGATGATGCTGGTGATGGTGATGAGGGTAATGATGGTGACGATGGTGATGATGATGCTGGTGGTGGTGATGGGAATGGTTATGTTGATGATGAGGATGAGGATGAGGATGATGATAAGAATGTTGATGATGATGATGATGATGATGATGATGATGATGATGATGATGATGATGAGGATGATGATGATGATGATGATGATGATGATGATGATGATGATGATGATGATGGTCATGATGATGGTGGTGGCGATGATGATGGTGATGGTGATGGTGATGATGGTGATGCTGGTGATGGTGATGGTGATGGTGATCGTGATGCGGAGGAGAAGGAACACAAGTATGAGGCGTATGCCATCGCTGAGAAACGGGGTTGCGGGAACAGCACGACTAAAACGCGTCAAGGACGATTGACGTTGAGTGTCCTTCTCCTTTCTCCTCCCTTGGCCCTCCTCTGCTATACACCTCATGTCATCCTCATGCTCTTTCTTCACATTCGCTTGACGCCATCGTCGCACTCGCCCTCCTGCTCTTGCTCCTGCCCCTCCTTCTCATTCATTCCGTTCGGCCCCGTACCTTTCCCTTCTTCGATCTGCACTGGTGTGTTCCCTTTCCGAGGACGCCAGCAACACACTGGCACCGATCTTGGCCAGCCCAGTGTTAGGCATAAGTCGGGCCTGTCCCTCTACAGGAGGAGTATTCAAAAATAGAAAAAACGGTCTGGGAACCATTGTTCTAGCATTTTTTAAATATTTTTGAGCATTAAAAACACAAATAATGTTCGCCCAAAGTCCGCCTGTAGGGTGACACGCCCGACCTAATGTTAGGCGCGTGATTGTTGTATACGTCCTTGGCCAGGCAGGCGTCTGGGTCGATCCGATATATTGGGCCTGGATCGGGGAAGGTGCACAAACATTGGTCTCCGTTGACAGGAGGGCGAGGCCGAGAAGAAGAACGACAAGCCCCCGCCAGCGGACATCGATGAGGTGGCGAACATCCACGACAGCGGCGACGGCACGCCCCTCTACAAGCTCTTCGTCTTCGAGGATGCCCGGCGCGCTGGAGAAGCACCAACGGGCGAGTATACCTATCGGTACGCATTTTTCGAGTTACAGATTCCAACCTTTTTTCAGCGCCTTCCTACTTCAATGATCGATTGGCGTCACCTTCTCCGTCCTCCTTAGGGGACGGGCGGACACCCAATCTATTTCCAACGCCTTCCTACTTCATGTTTCTACTTCTTCTTCCGACCGATGGGTAATTACACCCCTGGGCCCCTGGCGGTATAATACCCAACACAGCTCTTCAGAGTACGGAAGGGAGCACTACATGGAGTACGGTGGAGGTGATGAGTAGTGCACGAGCGTATTCTGGAGGGCGGCCTCATAAGGTAGACCGTAGAAGAAGTTATGCGGGGAACGATGAGTGACACCACCAGGGCTCGTTCCGATTCCTCCGATTCGATTCGATTCGACTTCGATGGCTTCCGATTCCGATTCGATTCGACTTGGGATTCCGATTTGGGTTCCGATTTCCTATTGGAGGCGTACTAGCCTGCCAATTTCAGCCGATTCGACTTTTCCCGATTCGGCTGCCGATTTCCGCCGATCCGATTCATTTCGACTGCCGATCCGACTTGTCGATCCGATTGTGGGCTCTCCTGCACCACAAGGGACACCGCAAGGGACACCCACGGGGGTGCCACACACGGGAGGCCATGCGGAACTCCCCGGCAGGAGAACAGAAGGGCGACCCCACGAGACAGCAGAGAGGAGTTCCCACGGGAGAGAAGAGGGCCATCGTGAGGAGTGCGATCCAGGACGCGACATCGGACACCAAGCGGCAAGTCATGCAGGAAACCATTGGGAGAGCATGGTTGAGGCTGTACGGAAAACTGCACGGGAGACCGTGCGGCGTGCGACCATGGGGAGACTTTGAGGCAGGCCATGCATGACACCACGAGCACGAGGGAGACTCGAAGGGGCACCACATGGGCACCACGAGGCAGGGCGCACAGGAGACCATGATTCGAGTTATTTGGGGGACCATACAGGATGCCATGCGCGAGACATTGAGGGAGACCGAAACATTACATAAATAGTAGGAGGAGGAGGAGGAGGAGGAGGAAGAAGAAGAAGAATAAGAATAATAAGCAGAAGAAGAAGAAAAAGAAGAAGAAGCAGAAGAAGAAGAAGAAGAAAAAGAAGAAGAATAAGAATAATAAGAAGAATAAGAAGAAGAATAATAAGACGAAGAAGAAGACGAAGAAGAAGAAGAAGAAGAGGAGGAGGAGGAGGAGGAGGAGGAGAGGGAGAACGAAGCATTACACAAATATAACACCTCGGATGCCCGCGCGGATTTCTCGGCTCGGCGCCGGAGCCCTCTCCATTTGCGCGCGGAGCGCGCCAGGGGCGGCGGAGGAGGCGCCGCCGGGGGGCCCAGCGCGGATCCAAGAAGTCCGCGCGGAGCGCCACAAGTCCGTATGTTTATGTCATTGACCGTGTCCCTAAACGCTCTCCGAGTGAGGGGTCCAGGGGGTTAGCAGTAGGTTTGCGTCGTGTCGACCAGCGGCGAACCCCCAGCGTGGGCGTTCAAGGTTGAACGCCGCTGGCGACCCAGAATCGATCGACGTTGAACGATCGGACGTTGCGGCAGCGGCCGATCGTTCAAGGTTGAACGATCCTTGCGGTGTCAAAAACCAACGCTGGGGTCGGCACGACACGAACCTGCCGTAGCAGTAGTGTATGTACATGTCCCCCTGAGCAGAGCCATCACCTTCACCACAGCCCGCAGCACCGCAGCTGCCAGAACCGCCGTGACTTCACACCGCCCGTCCATTCGATCCGACTTGATGTCGATACTTGCCAGGCCGATCCGATTCGACCCCGAAGTCCAGACGACCTGATGCGGCCCGCTGTTTGCGTGGCGCTGTTGTGCATACCGGCGGGGTCGATCCGATCCGATCTCGAGTTTGTGCCGATGCGGCCCATTGTTTGACTCGATCAAATTTCTCGACTCGGTTCTGACTGACCCCACCCACTGATCTTGCAGCTTGCAGCCTGGCGGTTGGTCGTTCCGCGACGCCCGGCGACCATCGCACTCTGCTTTGTGTCCGGCCCCAATCGCTGGCGGCAGGGATGGATCCGCACTCGCATGCTATTTCTCGCCCCCTACCTCCAAGGTGCGCCCGAAAATTCGCGCAGCAAAACAGGGGATCTCGGGGATACGCCCCCGAGGGGCTATTCGGACGCACCCCTGTCGAGGATGGACGTCCCCCCGTCGTATATCCCAGAGTCTGGCCCACATGTTGTGAACGTTTACATGAAGACGGAGATTGGGGTCGCCGCGCCCCCCGTTCAGCGCCCTCCCAGACATGCTCGCGTCGTGAAAGAACCACGGCGGCTGGTGTTGTTAATTAAAGTTTTCGACTTCAGGGGTCCTCATTGGGCTGCGGGACAGTTCGACAATTGCGTGGGATTAAACATTGGCCCTGGGGAGGGGGTCGGGATGTCTGGGGACCCCGTCTTGAGACCATCAAGACACTGCATGTCGGGGCCAGGACTGGGCGCTGCACGCGCTCCGCTACGAGCTGTTCCTCATGGCCGCCTCGTACAAGAGGGATGTGAACGACCCAGAGCGCCCCGGCATCCACGAAAGCCACATCACTTACTACTACAACAAGTACTTCAAGAAGGGCTTGATGGCCAAGCATTACGGGAAGGAGAGTCTCACGGACTTGCTCGCCTTGGTCAAGGACTATGTTTGGGCGCCCGTTTTCATAGTCCCATCACCTGCAGATGCCCTGCCCATCCCCCAAGGGAAACCAATGTGTTCTTCGCTTATCATGTACGTGCTCCCCGATCGGGTCTCAGCTCGGAGCTTGAAGAGTCCAGCCTAGATCATGAGAACGGTGGAGGAGAATGATGAGGAAGACGAGAATTACGAGTTGGGATTCGCGGGTTGGGCTGGAAGGAACGAGAGAGCGAGCGAGCGATAGAGAGAGAGAGAGAGACAGAGACAGAGAGAGAGAGATAGCCAGAAAGATCGAGGGCGACATCGAAGACGCCAACGGCGAATCGCCGCCGCCCCCTGCCTTTTTGGAAGCGCCTATGTGGCCGAACGTTGAGGCCAGACCTGCCAAGCTATCGGACCATGTGTTCCCCGAATCGGTTTGAAAAGCCTCGGGGAACACGTGGGCATCTTGAAGGTCATCTCGGCCGTCTGGAGGCCATTTTGACCCTCTCGGGCCTTCTTGGCGGACGTCTTGGAGGACTCTTGGGCCGTCTTGGAGGCCATCTTGGGCGTCTTGGAGACCTCCTGGGCCGTCTTGGGGGCCACCTTGGGGCCGTGTCTTGGGCCTCTTGGGCGATCTTTGGGGGCACTTGGGCCGTCTCGGGCCGTCGGAAGGTAGAAACAAAGCAAATGCCACAATCCTTCAAACATCCACTGGGAAATCAATGATTTTGGCTTTTGGGGGCCTTCCTGGAGGCCCTCTTGGAGGCCTCTTGGGCCGTCTTGGGCCATCTTAGGGCCATGTTCGGCCGTCTTGGTGGGCTCCTGGTCCGTCTGACGCCGTCGGAAGCCGTTTGGGGGGCCTCTATGGGCCGACTTGGGGCCCTTTTGTAATGCTCCAGGGCCGTCTTGGAGGCCATCTTGGGCGTCGTAAAGGCCTCTTGGGAGCGTCTTGGGGCCCTCTTGGGCCGTTCTGGGGCCATCTTGGAGGCCTCTGGGGCGATCTTTCGGCGATCTTTGGGGGCTCTTGGGCCGTCTCGGGCCGTCGGAAGGCAGAAAAGAAGTAGATGTCAAAATCCGTCAAGAACCTTAGGACAATCAATGTTTTGGCCTCTTCTGGCCTTCCTGGAGGCCCTCTTGGGGGCCTCTTGGGCCTTCTTGGGCCAGCTTCGAGCCAACTTCGGCCATCTTGGTGGGTTCCTGGCACGTCTGACGCCGTCGGGAGCCGCTTTGGGGGCTTTTCTGGGCCGACTTTGGGCCCTCTTGAGGCACTTCGGGGCCGTCTTGGAGGCCACCTTGGCGTTTTGGAGGCCACCTTGGGCGCGTTGGAGGCCTCTTGGGCCGTCTTGGGACCCTCTTGGGGCCGTCTTGGAGGCCACTTGGGCCGTCATGGGGCCCTCTTGGGGGCCTCTTGGGCGATCTTGGGAGCCTCTTGGGCCGTCTTGGGCTGTCGGAAAGCCGAAGAGGCGCAACTGCCAGAATCCTTCAAAAACCCAAGGGAAATCAATGAATCTGGCCTCGTCGGGCCTTCCTGGAGGACCTCTTGGAGACCTCTTGGGCCGTCTTGGAGACCTTTTGGGCCGTCTTGGAGGCCTCTTGCGGGCCGTTTGGACCGTCTCAGATTATTTTGAGGCCATCTTTGGCATTCTTGGGTACATCTTGGGGCCATCTTAGCCGTCTTTGAGGCCATCTTGGCCGTCTTGGAGGCATCTTGAAGGCCATCCTGGGACATCTTGGCCGTCTTGGAGGCCATGTTGGGCCATCTTGGGGCAGCAAAGGCGACGACGGAGCGATTTTCTGGGTGGCCAGCGGGTCGCGCCGGAGCACCAGGGAGAGTTCTTTTGGCAAAAGAACCAAAACCGAGAAGGTTCAGCCCGCCAGGCACCCCTGCGATGTATCGACAGGGGGCGGCGGATCGAAGACGCCTACGGCGAATCACCGCCGCCCCCTGCCTTTGTGGAAGCGCCTATGTGGCCGAACGTTGAGGCCAGACCTGCCAAGCCATCGGACCATGTGTTCCCCGAATCGGTTTGGAAAGCCTTCGGGGAACACGTGAGCGTCTTGATGGTCATCGTCGCCGTCTTGGAGGCCTCTTGGGCGATCTTTCGGCGATCTTTGGGGGCTCTTGGGCCGTCTCGGGCCGTCGGAAGGCCGAAAAAAGGGAAATGCCCAAATCCATCAAAAACCTTGGGAAAATCAGTGATTTTGGCATCTTTTGGCCTTCCTGGAGGCCCTCTTGGGGGCCTCTTGGGCCCTTTTGGGCCAGCTTCGAGCGAACTTCGGCCATCTTGGTGGGTTCCTGGCACGTCTGACGCCGTCGGGAGCCGTTTTGGGGGCCTTTCTGGGCCAACGGGGGACCCTCTTGGGGCGCTCCAGGGCCGTCTTGGAGGCCATCTTGGGCGTCTTGGAGGCCATCTTGGGCGTGTTGGAGGCCTCTTGGGCCCTCTTGGGGCCCTCTAGGGGCCATCTTGGAGGCCACTTGGGCCATCAGGGGGCTCTCTTGGGGGCCTCTTGGGCGATCTTGGGGGCTTCTTGGGCCGTCTTGAGCCGTCGGAGAGCCGAAAAGGCGCAAATGCCAAAATCCTTCAAAAACCAAGGGAAAATCAATGATTTTGGCCTCTTCGGACTCTCCTGGAGGACCTCTTGGAGGCCTCTTGGGCCGTCTGGGAGGCCTCTGGGGGGCCTCTTGGGCCGTCTTGGGCCGTCTTGGACTCTCTTGGGCCGTTTTGGAGGCCGTCTTGGACCATCTCGGGCGGACTTGGAGGCCATCTTGGGCCATCTTCGCGATTTTTTGAGGATGTCCCGAGCGAAACGGCCGTTTTTGGGCACGGTGGCGGGACGGGCCGGAGCCCACTGGGGAGTTCTTTTGGAAAAAGAACCAAAACCAAAACCTGAAACATCCAGCACGCCGTGCGCCCCTGCAAGCAGGGGGCGGCGGATCCACTGGTTTTCGTCCCATCCCGCCACCGTGCCTTGGTTGTAGGTCAGAGTCCTCTCGAATGCCTGTGGGGATCTCTTGGGAGGCCTCTAGGAAGGCTCTTGGAGGCGATTCTGGAGCGTTTGGGAGGCCTCTCGGGGGCCTCTTGGGGGCCTTTTGGGGCCTGATTTGTGCCACTCGGGGGCCGCCTGGAGCTTCTGGGGGACTCCATCTCGGGGGCATCTTGGGTCGTCTTGGCCTGTCGGAAACCCGAAGAGGACGACGCCCGAACCCCCACACTGCATGCGGCACATCTTGTGGGCCTCCTTGGAGCCCTCTCAGGGCGTCTTGGGGGCCGCATGGGGCCGTCTCGAGCAATCCTGGCCGTCTTGGGGCGCTCTTGGGCCGACTCGGGGCACTCTGGGATTGTCTCGGAGGCCAATCGGGGCCCTCTTGCCCCTTGTTGGGCCCCTCCTGGGTTCCGGGCGAGCCACGCGGGAGCACGCCCAAACACACCCCAGCACGCGGGAAGCCTCAGGAAATCCAGGAATGGTGGGTCTGGGTCGGTTTCAAATTTCTGTTCTAGAGGACTGAGGATTCGAAGGATCTGAGGTCACGCCAACGCGGGCCTCAGGGCATGGTGGCGGATGTGTGCATCTATATATAGGGGCACGCATCTACATTATCGAAGACGCCCACGGCGAATCACCGCCGCCCCCTGTGGAAGCGCCTATGTGTCCGACAGCTGGGCTAGAGCTTGGCCAAGCTATCGGACCATGTGTTCCCCGAGCCAGTTTAGAAAGGCTTCGTGGATCGCGGGGGGGAGGAAGGGGAGGAGGAGGAGAAGGAGGAAAAAGGAGAAGGGGGAGGATGCCTCTTCGGAGCCCCTTGAGGCACTCTTGGGCTCGATTGGACCATCTTGGGACCGTCTTGGAGACCATGTTGGGGCTATCTTGGGCTCTCTTTGGGCCTCTTGAGGGCCTCTCGGGACCCTTTTGGGGCTTCTCGGGGGCTTCTTTGGCCGTCTTATGCCGTTCCTGGTCCGTCTGACGCCGTCGGGAGCCGTCTTGGGGGCCTCTCTGAAACGACTTGAGGCCCTCTTGGGCCATCTTGGCCGTCTTGGAGGCCATCTTGGACGTCTTCGGGGCCTCTTGGGCCGTCTTGGGGCCCTCTTGGGGCCGTCTTGAGGGGCCTCTTCGGCCGTCATGGGGCCATCTTGGAGGCCTCTTGGGCGATCTTGCGGCGACCTTGGGGGCCTCTTGGGCCGTCTTGGGCCGTCGGAAAGCCGAAAAGGCGCAAATGCCAAAATCACAACAAAAATAGGACAATCAATGATTTTCGCCTCTTCGGGCCTTCCTGGAGGACCTCTTGGAGGCCTCTTGGGCCGTCTTGGAGGCCTCTTGGGAGCCTCTTGGTCCGTGATGGGCCATCTTGAGGCCATCTTGAGGCCATCTTAGGCTGTCTTGAGTGCATCTTGGTCCGTCGTGGGGGCATCTTGAGGCCATCTTAGCCGTCTTGGATGCCATCTTGGCCGTCTTGGAGGCCATTTTGGAGCCGTCTGGAACGGAAAACCTCTGGAAGATCTTTCGGCATCCTTCCGGGTTGCCAGCGGGACGCGCCGGAGCCCCACGGGGAGTTCTTTTTGAAAAAGAACCAAGACCAAATCGTAAGAAGTCCAGCACGCCGGGCACCCCTGTGATGAATCAACAGGGGGCGGCGGATCGAAGACGCCTACGGCGAATCGCCCTCGCCCCCTGCCTTTTTGGAAGCGCCTATGTGGCCGAACGTTGAGGCCAGACCTGCCAACCTATCGGACCATGTGTTCCCCGAATCGGTTTGGAAAGCCTTCGGGGAACACGTGGGCATCTTGAAGGTCATCTTGGCCGTCTGGAGGCCATTTTGACCCTTTCGGGCCTTCTTGGAGGATGTCTGCGGCGCGACCCGCGGACCCCGTCGAACGGTCCGTGCCCCGCAGGGGGAGGAATCTTGCACGGGAGGGGAGAGCGGGGCCGAGACTGGGAGGAGGAGGATGAGGGGGAGGAGGAGGAGGAGGAGGAGGAGGAGGAGGAGGAGGAGGAGGAGGAGGAGGAGGAGGGAGGAGGAGGAGGAGGAGGAGGAGGAGGAGGAGGAGGAGGGAGGAGGGAGGAGGAGGAGGGGGGCGGAGGACACGGTGGCCATCGACCCGAGCAACGGCGTGCTGGTGCTCAAGGTCGACGAGGACAGCGCGGCCGAGGTGTTCGTGAAGAAGGCCGAGGGTGGCCGCCGCGAGAGGCAGCGCAGGACGCCGTGGCATTTCTGGTGTTGTTTGTCGTCGTCGTCGCCGCCGCCGCCGCCGACGCCGTCGTCGCCGTCGTCGTCGTCGTCGTCGTCGTCGTCGTCGTCGTCGTCGTCGTCAACGTCGTCAACGTCGTCGTCGTCTTCAACGTCGTCGTCGTCGTCGTCGTCGTCGAGGAGGGCATCGGACGAGCGGCCGCGGGGCGTGGGGCGCGGAGAGCGGCGCGGGGGCGAGCGGCGGATCCCGACGCAGGGATGGATCTTCGGGCGTCTGGGCCGGCGGTGGATGCGGATGTGTTGCGAAGGCCTCAGGGCCAGCGCCGCCGAGCCCGAAGCGGGATGACGCCGGGGACGGCGACGACGACGGGGACGTTCTGGAGCCGAGAGCCTGTCCCAGGGAGGAGTGCCCCCCCCCTGGGAAGGGAGTGTCACAACCTTCGGACCCCCCTCCCCGTATATTCCCCCCCCGGACCCCCTCAAGAACACCCCCCCTTCGGCAGCTCGGTGCCAGAGCCCCTCCGCACGACCCGACTTTGCTCCGTACACTTTGTTCTTCTACACACGGATACATCATGCGGGGGGCGTTCGTTGCCATTCTCATGGGATCGATCGACCCGCTCCGCCAGAGCGAGCAGCCGCAGAAGCACCAGTCCATCTCGACGCAGTGCTGTTGGGCAAACCCTGATGTCCATCATAGCCTGCATGATTCATTCAGACAATTCAGCCAGTGTGTTCCTGGCGAGTTACATCCTCTCTTCTTCCGCGTCCTCCTCGTCCCCTGTTTATCCGTAAGGGCTTCGCCCCCTGCCGCCGGCCCCCTCTCTCGGAGAATGGGCCGTGGAAGAGCTAAGTCATGAGGCCTTGGCGCTGTCGTGAAGCAGTATCGAAACTTCATGCGAAGCCGATTCGCAATCAGCAAAACCAACTGATCACAAGAGGGGTTACCACACCTGGCGATTGGTAAGACGTGTATGGTTTACGGGCTTGGTTACCACACCTTGCGATTATTCTCGCAGTTTGGGTTACCACGCCTTGCGATGGATGTGCGTGAAGGGTGGCACCGAATTTCAGAAATGTGGCAAATCCCATGTGTTTTTGGACCCTGACCCCGCGGATCTGCGTGAGGGGTGGCACCGAATTTCAGAAATGTGGCAAATCCCATGTGTTTTTGGACCCTGACCCCGCGGATCTGCGTGAGGGGTGGCACCGAATTTCAGAAATGTGCAAATCCCTGTGTTTTTGGACCCTGACCCCGCGGATCTGCGTGAGGGGTGGCACCGAATTTCAGAAATGTGGCGTGTGTTTTCTGGACACCGAATTTCAGAAATGTGGCAAATCCCGTGTGTTTTTGGACCCTGACCCCGCGGATCTGCGTGAGGGGTGGCACCGAATTTCAGAAATGTGGCAAATCCCATGTGTTTTTGGACCCTGACCCCGCGGATCTGCGTGAGGGGTGTCGATTTTGAGCCCCCCCAGCAATTCAGACAACGCGCCCAGGTGGTGCTAAAAATCTGGTTTGGGCCTCCCTCCCCTCGCGCGGTCAATCAACGAGTTGCAGTAACCAGCAAGAAGCAGAATTGTAACACTGGAAGCTACAAACTACAACTGGCACAGGAAACTGCGAATCACGGGCCTACAGCCTGGTGGCCCCACAAGGGGGCCGGCGGACTCCTTTGCCTCGCCCTTTTTTCTCAAGATAAGGGCAAACCAATCCTTTGTTCCACTGAATGCTCCCCGACTTCTCTGATCCATGCAACTCGCCAGGGTCAGGTTGCTGGATGGGTTGGTGCGGATGAGCGGAGCTTGAAGAGGTCTTGGAGGGCTCAGACGGCATGCAAAATCTGCCGCCGCGCTTGTGCGGCACTTGCGTGCTGTGTGTTAGGGTTCGTGGACGCGCCCCCATCAGGAGGGTCCTTGAGCGCCCCGAGGCCCCTTAATTGTGGGCGCCTTGAGGCAGCTTCCCCTGAACCCAGGCTTTGGGCACGGATGCCAAATTGCAGCAGACAGCTGGATTGTCAATGAACGTGTTCAGACACAGCCCCGCCGCAGGCGCCGATGTGTTGTTGTAGAGTCAGCGTGGGCCGGATCAGGGGAATGGCGCGAGGGCGCTTTCCCGAGCCAGTGCGAGCAAGCCCGCCGCAGGCGCCGATTTGCGTGCTCTGACACATTCAGCGCGGGGGGATCGCTGGTGGGCCACCCGGAACGAATCCAAAAGAAACCCGCCGCAGGCGCCGAAGTTTAGGCTTGTTCAGTGAACGTAGTTTGTGTCGCGGGTGGGTCGCGGGCTCTCCACTTCCACCTGGAAGGAATTCAGAAACATCCCGCCGCAGGCGCCGAACATTTTGATTTGTACACTGAGCGCGGTTTGGGTCGCAGGTTCTTCACCTGGAACGGATGCAAAAGAACCCCCCCGCAGGCGCCGAAGTTTCGGTTTGTTCAGTGAACGTAATTTGGGTCGCGGGTGGGTCGCGGGCTCCCCACCTCCACCCGGGAGGAATTGAAAAACAGCCCGCCGCAGACGCCGAAAATTTTGGGTGGGTCGCGGGGTGGGTCGCGGGTGGGTCGCGGGCGCGTTTTGGGTCGCGGGTTGGTCGCAGGTTCTCCATTTGGAACGAATGCAAAAGAAAACCGCCGCAGGCGCCGAACATTTTGGACGGGTCGCAAAGTGGGTCGCGGGTGGGTCGCGGGTGGGTCGCAGTGGGTCGCGGGTGGGTGGCGGGTGGGTCGCGGGGTGGGTCGCGGGGTGGGTCGCGGGGGATCGCCGGGGGGTCGCCAGTGGGTCGCGGGTGGGTCGCCGGGGGGGTATCGGGGTGGGTCGCGGTGGGTCGCGGGGTGGGTCGCGGGTGGGTCGCGGGTGGGTCGCGGGTGGGTCGCGGGTGTGTCGCGGGGTGGGTCGCGGGGTGGGTCGCGGGGCGGGTCGCGGGGCGGGTCGCGGGGTGGGTCGCGGGTGGGTCGCAGAGCGGGGCGCGGGTGGGACGACGACAACAACAAACAACAAACAACAACAAGAACAAGAACAACAACAACAACAACAACAACAACAACAACAACAACAACAACAACAACAACAACAACAACAGGAATCCGCATCGCGGAATTCCACTTCAGCCACGCACCCAGGGACAGATAATGACCGTTCGGTTCAGCCCCTCACTCTGATATTCGAATTGCGGCGTTACCCCCAAATTGAGGGCATGCCCCCCTGCGCTGCCAAGGGCCCCCCAGGAGCCCACAGGAATCCCACAGCGACCCCTGAGAGACTCTCGGAGGGCTCTGAGCCACTGCGAGGTTCCTGAAGGAGCTCTCTCATGGAGGTTCCTGACGGGCCCTTGGAACGTTCTCGCACCTCCTGAGGAGCCCTTGGAGGGCCACCTGGCGAAGAGGCCTCTGGGGAGCCTCTGGAGCAGCTCGGCTCGCAGGGCCCTTGCGGCGGCCTTCGGAGGAGCTCCCGAAAGGCTTCCTGGGGGGGTGGGTTCTACTGGGGGGCCTCTGCGAATCCTCTGCGGAGCCGCCCGCCCCGGCGAAACAAATACCTGATCAAGCGCGTCACCCTTTCATAGTCGACCCGCATAGTAAAGACTCCTCCTCCTCTTCCTCCTCCTCCTCCTCCTCCTCTTCCTCCTCCTCCTCCTCCTCCTCCTCCTCCTCCTCCTCCTCGGGGCCCATGCCAAGAAACACCCTGCTTGCCTCCAGGGTGCCCTGGTTTTCTTGGGTTTCGATGGTTTTGCTATGGAGGGCGTGGCGCTCCCACGCCAACAAATCCGTGGACGTCCTGGGGTCTCAGGGTTGGGTTTCTTGTGGAAGGCTTCTTGTGGACTGGCCTCCGCTGTACCCTCGCATCCTTGCCCCGTCGGCCCACGCTCAGCCACTTTCGCTGGCCAGCCTCGCTCGAAAAGCGTTGATATTGGCGCTCCAAGGCCCTTGCATCCTTACCGCGCGTCCTCATGATACGGGTTGACTGTACTGTATTTCAAATTCACCTCCATGCTCAAGCAGCAGGACCGCGCACGCCAAACACTGATACTCTCTAGTTTCTGCTGTTTGTCGGCCAGCCCAAGACTCGCCCCAGATAAATAATACTATTGCGCGCAGTTTTTTGTTGTTCGACATCTCGAGAGCATTGAATCGTCTCGAGGCCACCTCCGGAGCTCTTCTTGGGCTTTGGCAATCGAGGACCCGCTCGGTGGCGTCTTCAGGACTTCTTGAGGGCCACCTTTGGGACCATCTTGAGCAATATTGGGGCTATCTTGGTACATCTAGGGGCCATGTTGGGTCATGTCGTTGGCGTATTGAAGGCAACCTTCGGGCTGTCTTGGGCGATCCCACATCTATCTGGAAGTATTTCGGGGCTGTCTTGGATCTCGGGACCATCCTGGCACGATGGTAGGTGCTCAACAGAAAACACACATTCACTCCCCTGGGAGCGGTTGCCTTGGCACCGCGTTTTGGGGTCGTTTTGGTGGGTGGTTCTTGGGGCCCTCTTAGTCTGACTTGGCGCCGCCTTGGGGCTCTTTTGATTCGGATCCTTCCTGGACCCTCCAACAAGGCCCCACGACCCCGGAAGGGACACCAACTTTGCTCCCAGAGTCTTGGGGCCGTTTTTGGCGTGGTCTTGGGCCATCGTGTTGCCTTGTCGGGGCCGTCTCAGAGGCCCGATTGGATTTTTGGAGCCTTTATTGTGCAGTCTTGGGTCTCCGGAGGGCCTGTTGGACCTTCCTCGAGGACCTCTGGAGGCCATTTTGGGGTCTAGGTGGTCATGCAGCAGCTCAAGCGACTTGATGACTTGCGGATCTTGGGGGCCCTTCGCTATCCGGGGCTTCTGGTGGACTCCTGTGGCCATCCAGGCAGATTCCTCTGGCTCCTCGGGGTGATCCCAGAGCCAACTTTGGGTATTTCGGGCCACGGATGCTGAAGGCATTCTGCGCCGTGGCCCCCTTCCTTCCTTCCTACGTCCTCCTCCTCCTCCTTCTCCTTCTCCTCCTTCTCCTCCTCTTCCTCCTCTGAGTCATATCAGCGTGACCAAGGGGCCGCTTTCTTGTTCAATCCTGCTCACGCACCGTCTGGTGCCAGGCACGCCTGGCCTTTGGCTGGTTCTCGTGAGGGCTTGTGGTGGTGCGCACCTGCGCGAAGTTTTCGAGAGCGAGATTGGACCCTGGGGGAGCGGGAGCCAGTAGGAGGGAGACAGCCAAATATTTCACACGCGGGGACCAAGTGGGAGGGAGAGAGGGCGCTCGACTGGAGCGTGCAGTCGTCCTTATCCTTTCTCTTCCTCCGTCCTCCGCCTCCCCCCGTCGCGTTCCCCTCCCTCCGAATATTTGCTTTTGGGTCATCGTGGGTTTTGCTTTGGGGCCTCCTGGTGCCATCTAGCAGGGCGTCGAAAAAAGAAGGGGGGTTCTTGATTTGCCCCCCGCCCCTGGATCATCACAATCGCCTCTTGGGGCGCTCTTGGGCGCTCTTGGGGCCGTTTTGGGGGGCCTCGTGGACCACTCTTGGGGCTCTCGTAGGCCGTCATGGGGCCATCTTGAGGCCTCAGAGGCCCACCAGAAACCAACAGGCGGACATGCAAACATCATTATTTTGAAGTAGTTTGGCCTCTTGCCGGGGTCCCGAAGGGGCTCCGAGAGCACTTGCAACCGTCGTTTGGTCCTCATCGGGCTTTTTGGAGGTACGTCGGAAGCTATCTTGAACCATCTTCGGCTATGTTGAGCCATCTTTGAGCATCGAACACCCTCCTGGAGCCATCTTGAGCGAAGCAAGACCCTCTGCCACCTCGCGATCCCCCCCCCCAGAAAAAAAAACGCAGAGGGGGGAGTGGGAGGGTACCCCTCATCCCCGAAGGGGGAAAGCAGGAGCTCGCCAGACCACCTTCGCTCAACGGGCAGGAGGGAGTAAAGTAAGTTATCGAATGTTCCAGACGCCCCCGCGGCGCCACCGACACCCGCCTCTGGGTCGGTCGGGCTCGGGTGCAGCTGTACCGTGTCGGTTCCGCAGGGGCGACGCGCACGCTGGCAAGTCTTGTCGTGTGAGCACAGTTGCGGGCGAAGCTTGGCCAGGCTGCTTGGGCGCAGCGCCGAACTACAAGACGAGACGGTCCTGACCGAGCTCCGAGCGTCTACAGTCAACCCGCGCAGTAAGGATGGGCGACCTTCCCAGGGGTACCCTTGCATCCTTGCCTCCTCGGTCCATCATTGACCTCTTTTGTTGGCCGCGCCTCGCTCGAAAAGCTCCGACATGGGCTTCCAAGGCCCCTGCATCTTTACCGCGCGTCCTTATGATACGGGTTGTCTGTATGTGTCATATTCAGTTGTTGTCCCTCTAATCCTTCCCCCTTGGGGCGGGGCTAGGACAGGGACACATCGCTTCAGAGCCTTTCGGAACGCTCTCAGAGCGTTCCGGAGCGCCCTGAGACGGCCGCGGTGCCCGATACAGCTTCCAGAGCCGTCGGATGTCAGAGATCCCCAGTTGATCCATGCCCGACTGTCTCCCCCCTTTTCTCTCCACCTGGCCCCTCCTGCACCTCTTCTCCCGCTCGCTGTCTGATCCTCCCCCTCCTCTCCGTCTGGTCTCCCTCCCTCCTCTGCAGGCGGGTGTTCTCTTTTCGGCCCGCCTGGCGCCTCATCCTCCTTCCGATTCGCCCCAGCCCATCATGTCCCGCCCGTCCCCACTCGTGCGACCGTGGCGTGCGGTCTAGCACGGGAAGGCCATCACGCTGGCGGGCGCAGCAAGGCTCCGCCACGCCCTGTTAGGACAAACCGAGACGCCAGCCGAGGCTTGTCTCTGGTGTTGCATTCCACCCCTCTGTTTCTCTCGGCGGGGACTAGCTCCGCCCCTTCTCCTCCTCCTCCTCCCCCTCCTCCTCCTCCTCCTCCTCCTCCTGTTCCTCCTCCTTCCCCCCTTCTGCTCTTCCTTCTCCTCCTCCTCGTCCTCCTCCTCCTCCTCCTCCTCCTCCTCCTCCTCCTCCTTCTCCTCCCCCACCCCCATCCTGCTCTCCATTTTCCTTCTCCTCCTCCTCCTTTTGCTCCTACTCCTCCTCCTACCCGTCCTCCTCCTGGTCCTTTTCGTCTAAATCTTACGGAGGCGGGCGAGGAGGAGGAGGAGTACCACGGAAAAATAATGATTTCCCATGGTGGGTGGGACCCCAGTCCGTGAATCAGGGCGTCGAAGCAATAATCAGTTTCCCTTGTGGTGGGGGGGTTCTAGGGACCTATCGCGGTTCAGAGGAGGAGGAGAAATCGAGGTGGCTTGAAGCCAGTGGGGAGGCGGATGGCAAAAGGGTGAGGAGACATGTAGGAGCGGTTGTCTTCCTCATTCTCCTCGCCTTCCTCCCTTTTCTGCTGCCTCCCTGTCTCTGTGTCCCTCCTCTCCCCCTCTCTCTCTCCTCCGGGCGGCGCCGCCCCCAGAGCGGTCCTGCCTGCCGCGCCGGCCGAGGATCGACGCCGGCGACGAGACGGCCCGCCTGGACTTCTCGGCGCTGGTGAAGCAGAAGGAGAGCCGCCCGGCGCAGAGATCGTCGGTCTCGGGGAGCGAACTTTGACATAAACATAACAATTCGGAGGTCCGCGCGGAGTTCTCGGATCGGCGCTGGACCCTCCTATCGGTGCGCGCTCCGCGCGCCATGGAGGGGGGTCCAGCGCCGATCCGAGAAATCCTCGCAGAACTCTGGGTTTTTATGTTCATCTCTCGCTCCCCTACGATCAGAGCTCCGAATCATCAGGGCGGGTGGGGGGTCAGGGGCAGCTAATTACGGAGTCGCGCCTCGGGGGCCCAGACCAGAGTTGCCCCGGGCCGCAGTTGTCCAGGGTATAACTTAGGCGTCCAACCCTCCCGATCATCGGGGCTAGGGGCAGCCAGGGGTAGCTACGGGCTCGTGCCTCGGGGCCCACATCGGAGCTACCCCGGACCGCATTGATCCTGGATATCTCGGGTGCCCAGGAGAGCTGCAGGGCGCGGAGGGCGACGAGGTCAGGATCGTTCCGTTCCTCCCAGGAGGCCTTCGTCGCTATCGGTGGGTTCTCCTTGAAATTCTGGTTAGAACGAAACCCGGGAAAGGTCAGGTAGGAATCGGTGCTTTTGTTGGTTTCTGCAGGACGTCAATATCGGCGATTGCTTCACCGATCGCAGAACAATGTCCCTGACGGTAAGACCCCGCGTACTATTTGTTGAGTTTGGCTGGGATCTCATGCTCCCTCGTCCTACCTCTTCCTGCCTCCTGCGTTCTCCTCCTGTATCATCATCTTGCCCCCTCCTCCTCCGCCTCCTCTTCCTCCTCATCGTGCCTCCTCTTCGCCCTCCTGAACTGAACTGAAACTACCACAGAGCGCGCGAAGCGTACAGGGATTTCGTCATCCTCCTCTTCCTTTTTTTGGCTCATCCGCCCCTGGGGAGGGGCCGCTGGGCCGCGCCGAGCCTCCACGAGGCGTTCTTGGGACCGTGCGCCATAGGTGGAGGCATCCACTTTTCGCCGCGCGTTGCTGATTCGGCGCTAATTCATCTACTTCGGCTGCGTGGTTTTGCGGACCCGCCAGGCTGCTGCCGCCGAGCGCGTGAGATTCGCCGCGCGTGTCGCGCTGTCAGGCCTGCCGCCGCTGCGAGTGGGACGACCGCCCAACGGAACGCAAGTGGCTGTGCAGCTGCGGTGCGACTGTCGTCCAGCTTTCGACGCGGCGGCCCTCGAAGCCAGCGGCAGTCGCCAGGCTGGATGCGTTGGTAAATACACGGTGTTGCGGCTAGGCGGCGCGTTGGTGTCCGCGTCGCAGGCCATCGCGGGCGCCTTGCGGCCCAGGCCGGGGTGCCTGCTGCGCTGCAGCAGGCCTGGCTGGTCGCGCCGCAGCACGCGTAGGCGGCGGTCGCGTGGCAGCGGGGCCCTCGCACGAGGACGCCTTCCACAAGGCCGCTGGCGCCTGCAAGGGCCCCCACAGGCGCCGCCAGGGTGCTGTGGATCAGGTCCTGGGGTGCCCCGGTGCGCTGATGGCCGCCGAGAAAATCGAAAAGGACCTCGTCATGCAGGTGGCCGAGGCCGAATCGGCGAATCTGAAGGCAGCTGCGGCCGTCGCCGCCCTGGCGCCAACGCAGGCTGCGCTGCCTCCCGCGGCCCCGCAGGCCAGCGACGGGGATGGCGACCTCTTCCAGTTGGTGTGGGGCGATTCGATCTCCAACGGCGAGGACATCGAGGAGCTCGAAGAGACGGAGCGCGCCAGCATGTAGAACCTCCGACGCCGTCTCTGCAGCGCCAAGTCGCAGCTGGAGATTCACTCCACGGAGGGGCAGGGCAAGCTGGCGCAGGCCAAGAAACTCGCCGAGCAGAGCCGCCAGCGTTTGGCCAAGAAGCGCAGAGGGCCTGAGGGAGTTCGCGTGGACGGCGCGCCACCTGGCCCAGGTTCTTCCTCGGCGCCCGCCGCGCCCGCCGGTGCTACCAGCGAAGCCGCCGCCCCGCTGGCAGGAGCTGGGCCGCCGCCGCCTGCTGCTGCGCACGCCGCTGCCCAGGGGATTGCTGCCGTTGCTGCTTCTGCCGCCGCTGGGCTGGGAGCACAGGCCGCCGAGCTCGGCGAGGCCAAGTTCCGCGCCGCCGAGCAGGCCGCCGCGGCCGTCAGCAGCAAGGGCGCGGGCAAGGGGGCAGCGGGAGCTGGCGCAGCCTCCGACCCTCGCAACGCCAGGCTCCCGCGGCCGGGCTGGCCGCGCACGCGGGGCCCCCCCGGCCCCGCCGACTTGGCTTCGCGCAGTTTCGGTTCGCAGGGGTACCCCACGTTGCCCGAGGCAGCTTGCCAGCCAGTCGCGGCGGGTGACTGCGGTTCAGCTGTTGCGCATCGTGGGATTCGCGTCGATGGTGTTCGCGTTGATCGACTTCCGCGCGACTCCAGCGAGTTCGAGCGCCGCTTCTTACTCAGCAGCGTCATGGCGATGGGGCCACGGGCGCGGCATCTCATGGTCGACCGCGCCCGCGAGCGCGACTGCGCGTGCTTCGCGGGGGCGCGCGTCGAGGCCGCCGCCGAGCTCGACGATTGGCGACGCAAGGCTCGCGGGGCAGTCAGGCGGTCGGCGCGCGACGCTGCTCGGCAATCTCGGGGCGCGGGCGCCGTGGGCGGAGAGTGCGTCTTCGCTCGTGGCCGCCGGCGCGCGCGGCCGAGGGGCCTTCGCGCCTGCGCCCAAGCAGGTGATGGCGCCTGCCACTTCCGACCTCGGCGGCTTCCAGGCTAGCGTCTTGCGCCCGGCGAGCTTTTTTCACCGGCGGCCCTCGCGTTCTACAACTTCTCGCCCGCGGGCCGGGCGCGGGGCAGCTGGCGCGGGCGCGCGCTCCGGGGCGCTCTGCTCGCGGCCTCGCAGATGCAGCGGTTCGCGCCGGGCGATTTCAACGTAGGGCATTCCGCGCTGCAGCGCCGCGGCTTCGCGGGGCGCGTCGATGGGGCGCGTCCTGCAGTGCGTCGCGGCGGTCGCGCGCGACGCGGGCATGCGTGGGTCGCCTGCGCTCGGACCCCTGCCGACCGTGTCTCGCGTGCTTCTGCAGCGTTCAGGCCGCGCCTTGGAAGGCGCGCTGCGGCGTGGCGCTGGGCTTGCGCGGGGGCGGCGAGCAGCAGTTTGCGCGTCGATTGGTCGCGCCGCGCCCTTTGCCTGGAGGCGGCCGCCCTTCTCCGCCGCGGACCCCCTCGCCCGAGGAGGTCGAGGCCGAGCTCGCGGCTGCGGCGGCGCGCGAGAAGCGAGTCCATTTCTTCCACGCCGTGCCTGGCATTTTTTTGGACGGCGGCGACCGGCGTCCACCGCCGACAGCGAGGGCCGCGGGCGCGGGCCCGATCTCGCGCCCTCCGTCGGCGACTTCGACGCGCGCGATATCCCCCCTAATATGGGCTAGGGCCAGGCGGGCGAGCAGGCGCGCGCCGCGGGGAACATCGGCACGCCGACGGGCAGCTTCGCCACCTTCGGCGCGCCCCCCCAGCGGGCGCCCGCCTTTCGGCCCGGGGGGGGCGGGCGTCGAGCTCGTCAAGTCTTTCGGCGGGGAGTGCGCCAGCTGCGAGGTTCGTGCTTCGAGGTCGGCATCGTTCTGGCGGCGGGCTGGCCCGCCTGGCGAAGGGGCGCCCGCGTTGGCGGGGCGAGGCCTTCGCATTTTACCTTCGGGGCGGTCGGGGCCCTTGTGTTTCGGCAGGTCATGCAGCTTTGCAGTTGGGGGGCGACGGGGGGGGGGGGGGGGGGGCGTTGGCCCGGGGCAACGTCCAAGGGGGGCGGGCCGATGGGGGATGCACCGATATCCAATCGCCAAGTGATCGCTGACGTGGGCTCGATGGCCCGCGCCGCCCAGCGCAAATCGCCCATTGCGCATCGCCCGTTGATTCCAGGTCGACGCCCTCCCACCCCGCCTCGGGCCGGCCCCCCCCCCCCGCGTTCCCCGTCCGATGAGAGGGCCATCTTGCGGCAGGCCGCCCGCGTGGGGGTCCGAGCGAAAGGGGTCGGGGAGCTGCTCGGGCGCCCATTCGCGTCCGCCCCGTGTCGCCGACGCATCGGCGAGGCGGCGCGATCCTCCCGCTCCCTCTGCTCGAACAGTAGTCTAGCGACATGCAAGTGCAGGGGGGAGTGATGTGAGTCATCGGGTCGAAACGTACCGGTACCCGGGGTCGGCGCGGGTGAGGTGGGCCGGGCCGCCCGCGGGACTGGGCGCTTGCCATTGCGCGCGATCAGCCCCTCGCGCGCGCGCGCGCCAGTGTAGCGCCCGCGCGCCCAGACGCCACGGCGCGTTCAATGTTCGGCCGTCTCATTGCAGCGACAAGCGTTGATTTCTGACGGGGTCTTCTGGGTGCATCGCGGCGCGCGCGCGGCTTAAAGTCGCGTGCGAGTGGTGGCGCCTGCCCCATTCGATGGCATCATGTCTTCGCCATCATGGCAACCATTGCGTCTGGGATTGCCCTGATGTGCGACGTTGCAACGTCGTGCCCCCTTCAGGGGCTGCAGCGGCCGCGTCGGGGTCGGCTCTGGGGGGCTTGCGATGTTCTCGAGAGCGTTTTCGGCATGTTCGCCACCTGGGCCATGTTCGGGCATGCGCCGGGACCCAGGAAACATACCCGGACCTGGATGGGGCGGCGCCTAGACACTTCGGCTAAGTACGGGCATAAGTTTTGCAAGTCTCTGAGGCATTCCCAGACCTTGTTGCCGTGACCTTCGGAGGGCCGTCCAATGGGGGCGGCCCCTGGCGACCTCGCCCAGCGCTCGGAATCGCGACGCTTCTGCGTCGAGCAATTTGCAATCTGGCGGTTGTCTCGCATTGACGTTCGCGCCAGACTTGTTCGCCGGCGCCCCCGAGGGCGCGGTCGCCCCCAACGCCTGGACATGTGCTTCTGGAGGGGCATGTCCAATTTAGCTGGTCCAGTTCGACAGCGACAAAGACGGGGTCGGCTACGCTGCCAAATCGAGCGCGCATTGGCGCCGCCGCGTGTTTTAACAAGAGATCGCCGTGCAACGTTCAATCGACCGTCGCTTCTACGTGCGCGCAGTCGCCGCCAGCCGAGACGAGCCGCCGTCCAGGGTGGGAGCCATGGCCCCCCGATCGCCCATGCGTCGCGGACCCGGGCTTCGGCGCCCCACCCAGAGCGGGACTGTTTTTTGCTGGGGGGGGGAGGGAGGGTTGGCGGCCTGGCGCCGATTTATTGGCATTGCGTCGCCGATGCCAGCTCAGCGCCCCCCCCCGCTGGGCCAGGTTTTTTTTTTTTCTGTCGCCTGCTTTCGAAGAGGCCCGTGTTCGTCTTCTACCCAGGATGGCTTTTCCTGCCCACCTCCCAGGATTGGCCGCGTGGAAAGGGGGGCGAAGGTTCCAGTCATCTGGCGCATTGCCCTCAGGTATCAGGCCATCGCCACACGAGCACAAGCAAGCAGCAGCAGCATCAGGAGACGGATGTTGATCTGAGATCGGGGTGCGAGACCGACGCGGCGCGCGAGGTGCCCAAACCAGGACATCGTTACAACTCGCGCGTGACGTACGCACAGGCAATATTGGCAGGGTCGGCGCGGCGGCCAAGCCAGCGATCACTGCCTAGCACGGCAGTGTGCAGGAAGCACTGGATCATTGCTTCCCTTGGCATTAACATGGCCGTCCTGAACAGGAGCGCGTGGCACGTGTTACCCTCGAAGCAGTGCGAGATTCTCCACCGGCTAGGGCCGTGTCAGATAATGATGAGGCGCCCCCCATCGCCAGTTGTTGCCTGGGTTGTCGTAGTGGTTACTGGGTTGGTTTCCCCGATGGGTGTTCCGATGGTTGACCCGATGGTTGTCCCGACGGTTTCCCCCATCACTGCCCCCATGATTGTCCCGATGGTTGCCCCACTGGGTGTTCCGATGGGCGTCGCAGAGGCTGTCCCGATGGGTGCCCCGATGTGTTGTCCGATGGTTGTCCTGTTGGTGGTCTCGTCGGTTGTCCCGATGGTTGCCCCGATGGTTTTCGCGGTGGCTGTCCCGATGATGTATCCGCCTGGTATCCCGATGTCTGCCCCGACGACCATCCTGACGGGTGTCCCGATGGTTGCGTCGACGTTTGTCCGATGGTTGTTCCGATGGTTGTCCCCATGAAGGTCTCGATGCATCCCCCGTTGGTTGTTCCGATGTTTGTACGAATTGTTGCCCCCATGGTTGTTTCGATGGCTGTTCAGATGGTTGTCCCGTGGTTGCCTTGATGGTTGTCTCGGTGGTTGTCCCGATGTTTGCCCGATGGCCGTCCCGATGTTTGCCCGCCATGGTTGTGCCGTTGGTTGTCCCACTGGTTGTCCCGATGGTTCTCTGGATGGTTGTCCCGATGTTTGTCCCGACAGTTGTATTCACGTTTTCCTGTTGGCTGTTCCGAGGTATGTCCCGAGATTTGTCCCGTTTATTGGCTCGATGTGTATCTTGCCGGTGTTCCAGGTTCTTTCGTCCCGTAAGTTGTTCCTGTGACCGTTTCGCGATCATTGTCCCGATGGTTGTCCCGATGTTTTTCCCCGTTGTTGTACCGATTGTTGTTTCGATGGTTGTCCCGATGGTTGTCTCGATGTTTGTCACGATATTATTCTCGATCGATAGATGGCTAGACCGCCAGATTTATTATAGGTGGCATTGGAAAATAGATGCTGAGACCGATCGGTTATGTGACCAATGGGTAGACCATCCGGATCGATCGAATTGATGTTCCGATGATTGTGCCGTTGGTTGTCCCACTACGTGGGTAATTAGATCGGCAAATAGCGTTGGTGGGGTGTGAAGACATGCGAGAAGTCATTCAAGCAGATTGCGCCATTCCGCCGACTCCCAGAGGAAATGAGGCGTTGTGGGCGTCTTGGCGGGCGTCTTGGAGCCTCGTGAGACTTTCCGAGGCGCTTGCTGGCTGTTTCTTGGACGCCGTCGCGCGCATGGGATGCCTTCAAGTGTGCGGGTGCGTTTGCAGAGTGGCCGCCGTGCGGTCGCTACTCCGCGCGTGGGGCTCAGACTCACTCATCCAGCGTTTCTCGGGAGGGTGCATTGAAAGATGTTGCTCGTCGCGCATGAAGCGAGATGCTCCTGGAGTGACATCGCGGATGGTAGATGTAACCTTCTCATCTTGGCATTCGGAGAACGAGAGAGAAGGTGGACACTTGTATAATTTATAACGACAGAGGTGAGAGGAAGGAGGAAAAGCAGGAGGAGATGGAGGACAGCGGGACGGTTTGTAATGTTGTTTGGGCTTTGTTTTTTTCTGGGATTCTCGGGAGTTCGGGGGAGGTCTCAGTTGAGCATTTTTGAAGCCACTTGGAGTTTATGGGGGCATATTCTGGGCTTCCTGGCTGCTCAGGTGGCGGCCTCTTGGAACTTTGTCGAGGCTCCAAGGGGGGGCTTGGGGGGCCCTTGGGTTTTTCCGGCGGACCGCTTCGAGCCAATGGGGGGCCTCGGAGTCCATCTTCTGGCTTGGCATCGCTCGGACGTGTGGATTTTTCCTTCGGCGAGGACAATCGAGGAGCATCCTTGATCACTTCGCGAAAGAGCCCACGCACGAAGCCGAAAAAAAACACACGGGAAAATGGACGTCCGAGCGATGGCCAGGGGAGGGCTCTCCCAGGGCCTCTGCGGGCTCTCTCCCTCTCGGTATTTCTCGGGGCCGCCTCCCGGTGTTTGGGGGGCGTCTTGGGCCGTCTTTGGGCCTTTTCTGGTCGTCCCCGGGCCGTTTTGACGGTTGTTTTTTTGGCTGGCCTGGGCCAGTCATGGGGGGCTCTCCCTCTTGGTATTTTTCGGGGCCGCCTTCCGGTTTTGGGGGGCGTCCTGGGCCGTCTTTGGGCCTTTTCTGGTCGTCCCCGGGCCGTTTTGACGGTTTTGTTTTTTGGCTGGCCTGGGCCAGTCATGGGGGCTTCTTGGTCCGTCTTGGGCACAGGCGCCGGAGAGCCGAAAACGGGAAAGTCATAAACACACAGGTGGAAACTCAGCGGCAGTTGCCTCTTGAGCCCGTCGGGGGGAGTCCCCTTGGGGCGTTCTTTCGGCGTGTTCGGCCGTATTTTGTGTGCCCTTGAAGCTTGTCCGGCGTATTAGAGCTCTTTTGGAGCCATCTTGCGTAGAATGCACCTCGGGATCTTGGCGTCCACGAGCGGTTGTCTTGCATGCTCCAGAGGCCCCAGGGGTGCGTTGGGGAGCCGGGGAGCCCCCCCGCCCCCTTCGAACGTGGTTGTAGGCCCTGGGGGAAGGGGAAAGGGGGGAGGGGGCCGCCAAATATTTTACACCTTTTCACCCCAGGCAATTGGGGTCGGCGGAAACGTGGAATTCTGCAGATGTATATATATATATATATACATGCGCGCATACATACATACATACATATCTACCGACCTACCTACCTACCTACCTACCTACCTACCTACCTACCTACCTACATACAAACATACATACATACATACATACAAACATACATACACACATGCATGCATGCATGCATGCATGCATGCATGCATGCATACATACATACATACATACATACATACATACATGCATACATACATACAACCATACATACATACATACATACACATACATACATGCGTACGTACATACATACATACATTCATATATGCATGCATGCACACATACATACATACATACATACATACCTACATACATACATACATACATACATACATACATACGTACGTACGTACGTACGTACGTACGTACGTACATACATACAGACAGACAGACAGACAGACAGACAGACAGACAGGCAGGCAGGCAGGCAGGCAGACAGACAGACAGGCAGACAGACAGACAGACAGACAGGCAGGCAGGCAGGCAGACAGACAGACAGGCAGACAGGCACAGGCAGGCAGGCAGGCAGGCAGGCAGGCAGGCAGGCAGGCAGACGTACGTACGTACGTACGTACGTACATACATTTATACACACATATATACATACACATATACATAAACATACATGAGCATGAATACGGATGTCCCGATGGGTGTGCACTCGAGAGTTGAATTCCGTGTCCGCCGACAGCCAAACATGTGGTCATACACCCCAGCCTCGATCTTTTTACCCCACACAGTGACCTATGCGGTGAGACAGAGGAGAAGGAGTCAGAGGAGGAGTCAGAGGTGGAGTCAGACGAGGAGGAGGAGGAGGAGGATGCAGTAGTAGCAGTGCCAGTAGCAGGAGGAGGAGGCGGCAGGGAGAGAAGGACGCAGGAGGAGGACGAGGCGGAGGTGGAGGATGCGGAAGGAGGGGCGGGGGGAGGAGGGGGAGGACGGCAGAGGAGGATGATGAGGAAGAGGACAGACGCTTTCATCCTAGTCGATCCATGTCCGCCTGACGTCGGAAAAGATAATAGGAGGAGGAGGAGGAGGAGGAGGAGGAGGCAGGAGGAGGAGGAGGACGAGGACGAGGACGAGGAGGAAGGAGGAGGCGAGCGATGCTGGAGCAGGAGGAGGGCGCAGGGCCACGCCAGGCCATACAGCAGACTCTGGATGCTCTGCTCCTTTTTCCTCACTGTCACAGGCCTGCCCCTCTGTTCTGCGATGATGCTGGGTCGGGCCTGCCTCTCTGCCCTGCTGCTCCTGGCAACGCCACATGGGGCGTTCCAAAAGGGGCCCTGGCTTTGAGGGTCGAAGAAGTTGTCACCCCTTCCGCGGCGGATGGCGGCGGAAGCGCGGCGGAAGGTCGGCGGAAGTAGAACGAGGCCGCTTCCGCCCGCGGAAGCCGGAAGAAGCTCGGGTTGAAGGCGGCGGAAGTAGAAGATGTGCCCCCCAGGAGATGAAAAAAAACGTTTTTGGAGCTCGGAGCGTCCGAGATCGGCCACGTGCTTGGACCGTACTGGTCGCCTTGCGCAGACACGAGGGCGTGCACCTTGAAAACTAGCAAAAACTTCCTTTGAATTTCTGCTGTCTAGTTCTACATTTGAGATCGTATAAACAAAAAAATAATAATTATTTCTGAGACTCATCGCGCTCGTCCGATTGCCCGCACTCGCTTGCGGTGGCGGCGGGGCCCGCCTCCCCCGAGGAGATGGCCGAGAAGCAGGCGGCGGCGAGGGCGGCCACCCCCGCCGCGGGCGCCCCGGCAAAGGCGGGCGCCACGTGGACCAGCGGCACGAAGGGCCAGGGCGACAAGGTCCCGCAGAGGGCAACCGCACGGGGCAGTGGGGGCCCATGCCAATCGGGTCGGGCGAAAGGGGGGGATTGGGAAAGGGGGGGTTACGAAATTTGCTGCGTGCAGCTGGTTTCGGCCTCACCGAGGGGCCCATTCCTCAGCCGCCTCCGGCGCCGGGAGGCGCCGGGAAAATCAGCTGCGTGAGCTGATTCTCAAACCCCCCCTTTGCTACATCCCCCCCTTTGGCCCGACCCGAGCCAAGAAGCACAGGGCACGAGCATAAACTTTCGGAGTTCGGCGCGGATCTCTCGGATCCGCGCTGGAGCCCTGGGGAGGGGGGGGGGGGGGCCCGGCGCCGCCACTGGTCTGCTCCGCGCTCCGCGCGCGAGGGAGGGGGGGGGGTCCCAGCGCAGCCCCGAGAAAGCAGCGCGGAGCTCTGAGAGTTCATGGTGACCGTTTTCTTACAGTGGATGCCCGTGCCAAGAAACTCCCTGCTTGCCTCCAGGGTGCCTGGGGGGTTCGTGGGTTCCGATGGTTTTGCTACGGAAAGCGTGGCGCTCCCACACCCATCATCCATGAACGTCCTGGGGTCTCAGGGTTTGGTTTCTTGAGGGAGGTTTCTTGTGGTCGAGCTGCTGCAGGTTCATGCGGCGTTGGCGCTCCGGCGACGCTCCCTGAGATCCTGGTGCTGCACTTTTTTCTCACCGGGTGTCGTCGCCCGATGTCGGGCGCCCTGGACCCTCACAGGTCGATCCAGCTCGAAAAATGACGCAGCAAGGTGGGTTCCACGGCTCCGGTCGTGGCTTTTCACGATGTTGCAATTCTTGTCGCCATGTTGGACCTCAGGGCCGGCAAAGGCGCTCAATCGGGACGATCGAAATGGGTACGGAGGGAACGGGCACGAAGGCCGACAGCAGTTCTCGCAATTCTGAGCAGGATCTACTGTTGGTGCCGCCAGGGACCTGAGACAGAAGGCCGCCTGCCCAACAGTGGCCGCTGTCAGTTTTGGAGCACTGTTGTTGGGCATCGTGCCCATGTTCTCCGCGTTCATTCCAGGCGCCCACAAACAAGGCTGCGTTCCGCATCATGGTAGAACGACGCGGAGGCATCGAGGGACACCGTGACGCCACTGGACCCGACGGAGTCTCATTTTGCACGGTCGGGGCGGCGATCGGTGCAAGGTTGCACGATCGAGGCGGTGCCACAAGTCTGCACGAGTGCCAGCGCGGCACGAAGCTGCCGTGCATACGCCACCACCGTGCCCGGCCGGGGCCCGCCCCTCCGGGGGTCGGGGATCGAGAGATCGGGGGCGGCAAAGAGGGGGGTGATGACTAGGGGGGGGGGGGGATATCATGGCGTGGGCCATGATATTTCCCCAGATTTCATGGCGCCTCTTCTTATTTCATTACGTCCCTGGCGCCCCCTTGGGCCGCGCACATGTCGCCGGTCATGATTTGCACCCCCCCCTCTTGGACACCCCACTCTTGGCCGCTCCCGAGAAGTAGCGAAGCAGACTGTTGTGACAAGCCTGGTGGGGGCGTCTGCTTGGCGCGAGTGCCCAAAACGGCACCGCAGTGGGCACGTCGCAGGATCCTGCAGAGCCAGGGCTGCACTGGCCAGGGCTCGCGCGCAGGATCTTGCGGGATCCTGCAAAGCCCGGCTGGCCGGGGTTCGCATTGATTAACTGGCAAGAAGAAGGACCCTTAGCCCCTTGGGTCAGCCAGAGCGTCCGATCTTCCTGGCCTCCCCCTCCTCCACCCCAGGTAGTGAAGCAGACTGTTGTGACATGCGTGGGGAAGCGTATTCTTGGCACGGGCACCCAAGACGGCACAGCAGTGGGCACGTCGCAGGATCCTGCAGAGCCAGGGCTGCACTGACCCGGGCTCGCGCGCAGGATCTTTCAGGATCCTGCAACCCCCGACTGGCCCAGGCTGGCGTTGCCCGGGTCCGTCGGCTGGCGCACACGAGTCCAGGGCTGGTTTCAGTCAGCAGCACGCATCGCGCGAGCGTTCGCATCACGCGGCGGGCCTCACAGACTGGAGGCCGTAGCCACGCGCGCGGTCGGGCGCGTACGTCCTCTGCGGGCTCCCCGTCGGAGGAGCCGACGGGCAACACTTGGCAGAGTCATAATTTCCGGGAGGCCGGGGCCCCTCTCTCACGGGCTGGGGAGAGGGGGGGGCCCGCCGCCGACCTCGAGAGAAAGCCGAGCGGACCTCCGAGAGCAAGTCGGGCCTGTCCCTCCGACAGGAGGACAGTTCAAACATCGTTAAACAATTTGTCGGGGGAGTTTTTCCTTTTATTATTCTTATCATGATTATTCGCATTCTGATTATCATTCGTATTATGATGATTGTTGGTTTTTTTTGGAAGACGTTTCGGGTCTTTTTAATGTTTCGTCCAACATCCGCCTGTAGGAGGGCACGCCCGACCTCATCCTAAGATCGGGACGATCGGCATGGGTACGGAGAGAAAGGGTACAATTCCCAATTCCTGATCATTTTGCACAGGACTCGCTGTCCGCGCCGCCGCGGACGTTGTTCCCTGAAGACAGACAGCCGCGTGCACAGCAGCGGCCGCTGTCGGTTTTGGACAGCAGTTGTTGTTGGGCATTTTACCCATGTTGTCCGTGCCCACTTCGGCAGTCCAACTCCTTGCTCCTCCTGAGAGGAGGGCGAGGTGCGACGGCGGTGTCTGTTGCATCTTCGGGGGACCTCGCGGTTTCTGTTGCATCTTCGGCTTCCAGGCAAGGCCTCCCGAGGATGCAACAGAAGGCGGTATCGACCATGCGCAAGGGTGGCCCCTCGCCAGAGGGGAGGAGGAGGAGGAGGACGGAGGGGGAGGAGGAGGAGGAGGAGGAGGAGGAGGAGGAGGAGGAGGAGGAGGAGGAGGAGGAGGAGGAGGAGGAGGAGGAGGAGGGAGGAGGGGGGTCCTCCCGATCGCGGAGCGCGGTGCGGCGGTGGCTGCCTGCGCGCCTGGATGCGGCCATTTAATTGCGCCCCCGAGACGTCGCCTCGGCCTCGGCTACCTCTCGGGGGGGACGACACGGACAGACGCCATTGGCCGTCGGCTCCCAGGAAACTGTGGGAAAGCATGGGAAGTGGGGGCGAGGACGAAAGCCCAAAACATGTTGGAGAATCGATGGAATCCTGGGAGTTGTGTGTATTTATGTGTGTGTGTGTCCCTGGGCCCCTTCGGCCATTGGCCCGTTCGGGCACCCCCGGCGACTGGGGCGCGTCGAGCCCCCCATGTCGCAGTGCGCCGTGCCAAGGCGGTGTACCGCAGCATCGCCTACAGTGGAGACCCATGCCCCCCCCCAAAAACATAAAAAAACAATAAAAACAACAAAAACAAAAAACCTGCTTGCCGCCAGAGTGCCCTGGGCTTCTTGGGTTTCGATGGTCTTGCTATGGAAAGCGTGGCGCTTTCGCACCAAAAATCCATGTGGACGTCCTGGGATCTCTGGATGGGGTTCTCGTGGAAGCTTTTTTTCTGGTCCGGCCTCCACTGTAGGGTCCCTCTTGCCCACGGGCCCCTTTTGCGTGCAGCCGACGGCTGCAACAACGGCTACAACGACGGTCCCCCGGCACGCATGGGTTCAGTGTTTTCTATCTATTTGTCAATGCGTCGCCGGGGCGCGGCTTCGTTCGTTCGTTCTGGTCGCCACGCCTTGGGCCCGGCTCGGAAGACCTCGTGCCTCCAGGGCCCACCGAAGGGTCCGGGGATTCATTTTGGGTTGCCTCTGTTCGGAGAAGAAAAACAACACAAACATACATTTTTGGCGCTCCGCGCGGATTTCTTGGATCCACCCTGGGGGGCGCCCCTGGCGCGCTTCGCGCGCCAGGGAGGGGGGTCCAGCGTAGATCCAAGCAATCCGCGCGGAGCGCCAGCAGTTTACGGTCGTTGTTTCTTCTCCTCGCTGTCTCATCTCGCCCTGCTTTGAACCACGGAGCCTGGCCATGGCCATCCTGTCCCCAGGAGTTCCGGGAGGCAGGAGCGAGAACGGCAGAAAGAGCAGCCAGCCCTTCTCCACCCCTCGGCTGGCAAGCCCTCCCCGTCCTCCGAGGCCCCTTCCCTCGCTGGAAGGAGCAGAAGACGGCATGACCATACACTTTCGGAGGTCGTCGCGGATTCCTCGGGTCGGCGCTAACCTCCCCCCCCGGGTGGCGCCTCGGCCGGGTGCCGCCCCAAGCGTGCTTCCTGCTCCAGCGAAGGGGGGGGGGGCGCACCAACCCGAGTCCTCGCGCACCTCCGGTAGTTTTTTCGTTTTTTGTCTGTGCAGTTGTTGTTCCCAGTTTTCCGAGGACGGTGTGCACGTGCCCTCCTGGCCATGGCCCCGAGGGTGGGGTCCGAGTAGACGGGGTCGGAGGGTCGTGCCGCATCGCCGATGCATCGCCGATGCGGCTCGATGTGGAGCCCGATTTGCTTCACGTCGCCGTTGCCGATGCATCGCCCACGTCGACGATGCATCGCCGGTGCATCGCCGATGCATCGCCGATGCGGCGCGATCCTCCGACCCCATCAACTCCGATCCCGTCTAGGAGGTCTCTGACGAGGGCGTACACAGTCAAGACGCCGACATCGGGATCGTGGGCATGGGAGGGGTCCTGGTAGTTTGTTTTGTCTGTGCCATTTTTTTGTTGGTGTTCCGAGGGCGGTGTGCACGGGCTCTCCTGGCCATGGCCACGAGGGCGTATGCAGTCAGGACGCCGGAATCAGGATCGTGGGCCCAGGAGGGGTTCTGTGCTTTTTGTTTTCGGGCCTGCCCGTGGCGGTCGAGAGGGGGCCCTTTCTTGGGTGGGTGTGGCCTCTCGCCGCGGCCAGAGGAGGAACCCCCTTTGTAGTTCCCTTGTGTTCGGCGTGCCTTCTGGTTACACCACGGCTGCACGCCTAAGTCGGGCGTGCCCCTCTACAGAAGAAACATTCGATTGCTTGGGGACGATCGTTTGCTTCTTTGTTGAGCATGTTCTGACTACCGTTCTATTTTCCCTCCAAACTCCGCCCGTAGGAGGGCACGCCCGACCTATCTGCACGCACCGCTCAAGTGCCGGGGGAAGGCCCCGGCCGGGCGGGGTTGGTGGCTCGCCGAGCGCGCTCCACTACTCGCAAAGTGCCGACTCGCAACAGTCGGGAAGCAAACAGGTCTTCCTCTATGTAAGATCTGCAGGAAATCCCCCGCGGCGCATCGAGGCCATTTGCGAGTAGTGGATTTCCGGGTCGTGGAGCGCGCTTGTCCGCGTGGTGGTGTGTGGGGCCAGCCTCCTGCGCAGGGCTGGGGCAAAGGCGGCGCCGGCGGCAAGGGCGGCGGCAAGGCCGCCCGCGGCACTCCCGGAAGCTCCGCCCTCTGCCCGCCTCGGCGCTGGCGGGCTCTCTCTCTCTCTCTCTCTCGCGCTCCCTCTCTCTCGGGGGCGGAAACGAGGGGGGTGAGGACTAGGGGAGGGGGATTCCATGGCGCGGGCCATGATTTTGTTCTCCAGATGTCATGGCGCCTCTTCTCGTTTCATCACGGCCCTGGCCCCCCCGGCTGGGCCGCGCACGTGCCGCCGGTCATGATTTGCACCCCCCCTTTTTGGACACCCCCCTCTTTGCCGCTCCCGACTCTCTCTCCCCCACCCTCCTCTGCTTCCGATGGGATCCGCGTGTCATGTGCCGCGGCTCCTCGCGCACCCACCTTCCAGCAGCCATCGCCGCCGAGAGCCGAGCCGACGAGGGTGGCACGAGTGTGGTTCCGAGGATGGGCTGGCATCCCCCAGGTTGTACGTACGGGCCTGCCCTAATTACGGCTGCTAGCGGTTCACTTGCCGAGCTGGTTCTTTCAGTTTACGTGGTGTTCCGCCAGGGACACCAGATGGAGACGTTTTGTGCAAAGATTGTAAGTTTCTCCTTTTGTAGCTTGTGTCGCATCTTTCGGTGGGTCTCGGAGCGTGCAGCACAACGATGCGCGATGCGGACAGCTGCCCGCGTTTTCGCTACCGCATCTTCCCTCCTCCTCCTCCTCCTCCTCTTCCTCCTTGTCCGCGTCCTCCTCCTTTTTTCATACTCGTTCCACCCCCTCCTCGCCCCCCGTCCCCCCCATCCCCCTCCGCGTGCGCGGAGGGAGTCGTCCAAGCGGGACACGGAGTGGGCGGTTGCCAAAAATCGTTTTGGGATTCGGATAACAGCCATTTGGAAACCGTTTGTCCTTTGGACGTGGCCAGAATTGGGGGCGGCAATTCGTCTCCAGAACGTCGCGCCGCGAGATTTTGGGGAGTGTACCAGAGTCCAGGGCAGACGTCCTCCATGGAGGCGTGCCGTATGATCCATTTGTGTGGGTTCCAAGCTCGAAAGTGTTTACGACCAACCTGGCGGACGGGCGTTTGGAACGAGGATGCCACCACAAATCTCGCGATCAGAGGACTATTAGTTGGACCACTTCAAGAATCAAACTTATATGCACACGCTGACCAGAAAACCCGAGTATTCGTTGACCTTGCTTGTCGGCGGCGTGCAAAAACAGCAATTATATCGAAGATCTGATGTAAGCTAGCGTGTCCTGGCTGCGTTACCAATACGGCTGCCGCGTAAAGCAAGATGCCGCCACATATTTGTTGTCTAGAGGTCGTGCGATACCCGAGTCCTTTGTCGCTCTTGGGGGGTCGTTTGTGTTGTCCACGCCGGGTAACCTATCCCGTCTGCTTTTGCTGTGCTGCGCGCCCCGTTGCCGGAATGGAAAAAAAGCCATACAACCCACACCTCGTGAGACACCGCCGGTCCCTCCTCGCCGGGGTCTTGGTGGTCATTTCTGTCAGCCCCGCGCGGGGTGTCCCCAGATGTGTGGGGTCACTTTTTTTCCATAGCTGCGCGCTTGCCCCCTCCCGTCCCTCGCGTCTGTCTGGTCACCACTGTGCGGTCACCCTGTCTCGTCGGTCCGTTTCCGTCCCCTGCTTGCGGGGGGAGGGATAGTGAACCCGTAGCCGCGTGTGTCGCCCCGTCGGGTGGTCATGGGCCGCTGGGGGTGGCGACCTGAAGCGCCTGGCAGGGAAAATATGGCTTCGGACCTCGCTCGCCAGATGGCCCATCCCCATCCACCTTCTCACCCACCTATCGCGTCTGCGCACCTGCCTAGAGGCACACGCCAGCACCCCAGGCGGGCCAGGCGGCGAAGGGGGCCCATGGCCGCGCCCTTCACCGCGGACCTCCAGGAGTGGGTACCGCCGAGGGCCGCGGCAGCGGCGCATGCTGCTGGGCCTCGCCGACGGGGGGCGCTCCCCGGAGGTGCTGGCGCCCGGGGGGCGGTGGGCGGCCCGGTGCCCACGGGCCAACCCACGCCCCGGGGGGCCTTCGAGGGCTTTCGTCTTGTCTTTCGGGAGAAATCAGAGCGTGAACTACCTACCCCGCTTTCGCTTCCAGACAAAACCAAGCCATACCACGCGCCTCCTCGTCAAGCGGCCTGACCAGTACAGGCTGGAATTTGGCATCGTTTGGTATCTCTTGGAAGCGAGGGTGGTCAAAAGCGAGGTCGGTTTGTTTTCCCCCTAAGAAAGGCCGCCCGCCAGGCGGGTGCCTGGGAAGGCTGGGCTCCGGCACCGCAGTGCCCGGTCCCCCCGCTTCCCGGGTCCAGTCTCGGCCCAGGGGCCGCGCGGTGGCCTTGGACGTCGCCGGGGGACGTGTCTTGGCATCGCTCGGACGTGTGCATTTTTCTTTCGGCGAGGACAATCGAGGAGCATCCTTGATCATTTGGCGAAAAAGCCACGCACGAAACCGAAAACGCACACAGGGAGCGGACGGCGGAGCGATGGCAAGCGCGTTGGATGGGGCACGGCACGGAGGCAGGCAGCGGGAGAGTCCGGCCAAGCCGCTAAGCCGCTCCCCGGGCTCGTCCCGGGAGGTGTGGCTGCCCTGAACGTGGCTGGAGCATTCCGCACGGGACTGGCACGGAGGCAGACGGCGGGATACTCGCGGCAGGCGCAGTTCAGCGAGCGAAGAACGGAATAAAATAAACTTTCCGCCGTCGGGGACACCTGCCCCTGGGCGGCTGGAAAGTTTATACCCTACGGTGCCACCGTAAGGGTATAAACTTTCCAGCCGCCCTGGGGCAGGTGTCCCCGACGGCGAAAAAGTTTATTTTATACCGTTCTTCGCCCGTTAAGCAGTCGGGTTCCGCGGAGTGCCAATGGTCGTGGAGGTGATCTGCGAGCTGCGCCTGGCCTTTGCACTGCAGTGGCCTGCATGGACGGGTCTCCAACTCGATGGCGCCGGGTGCGACGGGCCAGGCAGCGCCGCGGCACCTGTAGCGGATCCGCTGCGGGGCGGGGTCGGGGCCATACGCAGACGGCGCTGGGGCGGGCTGTCTAGTGGCTGCGCACAGGTAGGGGATCATCGTCGACGTGGTGGCGTCGTCACCGGACTTTCACGCGAGGGTGACTGTGGCGCCGTGTGGAGCCCCAGCAGTGCCCCTGGGACCGCGCGCGCCTCTCCGCCTCTCTCCCAGCGGATTTGGCGGCGGCGCAGGCCCCGCAAGTGGGGCGCAGCAGGTGGGGTCGCGGCGCCGACTGGGGCCGCGCCCTGGAGGAGGCCCCCTAAGCGCCTGCATCTCCTCGCGGGGTGGGCGGAGGCGGCGGTGCGCAGCAGTCCGGTTCGAGCTCGGGCGGCGGCAGGGTCGCGGGAGGGCGAGCGGCAGGCGATGCTGGGCCGCGCGGCAGGGTGGCGATCGGCCGCGTGTAAGCATGTAACTGGCTTTGCGGTGACCTGGCCCTGACCTCGCGGCGGCCGCTCGACGTTGCCCGGGGCGCCCTCGCGGCAGCGGGCCGGCGCGAGGGCGCTCAGCCCATCGCGCCCGATTGGCCGCCGCAGGATGACGACCCTTCTGCGCTCGAGGGTGGTCGATGTCGATGAGCGGCAGGCCGCAGAATGGGAACAAACATTCGGTCGTTGCCTGGAGCTCGCGGCGACGCCCTCGGGACCAACGATAGGGGGATTAGGCACAGGGGGGGGATGCATCGACCCTCAGTCGCCCATTGCTCGCCGATGGGGGCCCGATTGCCCACACCTACCCAGGAAGGTGCTGATTCGCTATCGGGGACCTATCGCCGATCTATCGGCGATGTATCGCCGATTCCAAATCGATGCATTCCCCCCCCTGCGCCAGTCCCCCCCTGTCGTTGCCCCTCACGCCCTGGGCCCTGGCCGAGAGTTTCTTGGCCAGCCTCCTTCGGCCACGCGCCGCCCTCCAGGCGGCGCTCTGCGACCTTGGGGCGGGCGCGCGGCCCGGGCCCGACGAGCCGGCCCGCGCGGCGGCACAGGCAGTTCTGGCGCTCGGGCTCGGAGAGAGGGCGCCTGGCGCGGGTCGCCAGAGGTTCGACGCAGCCCTCGCGGCGGCCAGACTATTGCTCGATGCGTCAGTCCGCGCGCGACAGGGACGGCGCGCGACCATTCGCAAGGGACATCTGCCGCGCGGACTTGACCTGGCTGGGGAAGACGCGGTGATGACGCAGCGCCGGCGCGTCGGGCTGCGCGGGCGTCTCTGGCTTGCCGCTGCCGCCTCCGCGGGCGAAGTGACCGTTCGCCCCCCCCCCCCGGCCCCTTGCTCGGGCCGATCCGCGCGCGCATCGCGTCGCCGTTGGCCAGGGGCGTCGGCCTGGGGCGCGCCTCTTCAGCGCTCTGATCAGGCCGTTGCTGAACATCGACCGATGCGCGACGCCAGGGGGTTCCTAGGACTTCGCCGCGCCAGAGGACATCGCGACGCCGCTCCAGATGGCGCAGTTCGCGTGCGATACGGTCGCCCGGCAGCCCGACGAGGCGCGGCTGGCGCGGGCGAGCGTTTGGCTGGAGAACTTCTACCAATTCTACGGGCGCCGCTTCCAAGGAGGCGCCGAAAACCCAGCGGCCGCGGCAGTGGGCGGCCCCGCCACTGCTCAGGCGGCTTGCGGTGCAGTTGATGGTTTTCCCGTCTGCCTGGCCACGGATCTAGAGTCAAGTCGGGCTTGTCCCTCTACAGGAGGGATAAAAAAAATAATGCGGGGATCATCTTTCGATTCTTTGCGAGCATTTGGGGCGTCTTTTTTTTGGGGGGGGGGGAGTTTCTAAGTTTTCGCCCAAAAGCCGCCAGTAGGGGGACGGGCCCGACCGAAATCTAGAGGTTCTGGGCTCTGGGCGTTGAAGTTGACAACGCGCTGCCCCTGGGGCCGCTGCTGGCCCCGCGCGCGCGGCAGGCTGCGCGACGGGGCGCGGCGCCCGGCGGCGGCGTGGACGGGGCGCGGCCTCGGGCGGCCCTTCCAGCCCGGCCGATCCCTTGCCCCCGTGGAAGCAGCGGCTTTCCGCGGGGCCGGGCTGCTGGCCAGCCGCGCGCGGGGCTGGCGCGAGGTGGCTGCGCAACGCCTCCGCGCTCACCACGACGCGGCGGTGGCACTGCTCGGCCTCCTTCCCGTCCGCGCCACTCGGCGCGGGAGGCCGCGCAAGCGCGCCTTCCTCGAGGCGCGCGTTGGCGCGCCAGGGCTGCCGCCGCGGTCGCGGCGCGGCTCCTGGCGACGCGGGCTCGGGCGCGCTCCGCTTGCCACGCGACTCGCCGGCGCGCCCGCGAGCCCGTCGGCGCCGAAGCGGGGGGCAGCACCTGGTTGCGGGATGCTGCGGCGGTGGCGCGGGCGCTTCGCGCGCCCGCTCCCCCACCCCGCTTGCCTGCAGCGGCAGAGGCGGGGCCCCTTCGGTCCACTCGTCGGCCTCTTGCGGCGGCGCTGCCGGAGGCTCCCGAGGCGGAGGCGCGTGGTTCTGCGAACAGCGGAGCGACCTCCACGACAACGGGCGGGTTGGGGCAAGTCTGCGCGGAGGTTTCACAGGGCCTGGCGCGTGGCACGAGGTGCTTGTGCCTATGGGGCCCCCTCGGGTATTTGGGGAGCTCCCTCGGGCGAGGCCCACGCCCGCGTGCGCCCTGTGCGTGGGCGCGAGGAGCAACCTGAAACGCCTGCTGAAGCGGCGTCTTGCTGGCCAGGGGCTCCGGGGCACAATCTGCGAAAGCTGGGCCCTCGGCCTGGCCGCCGCGGCAGCGCGGGCGCTGCGCGGCGCGGGCGCCCTCGACGAACTCGCCGCGAAGGTCCGCTCCCTGGGGCCCCTCGCCGCCGGCGTTGCCCGCGCGCGCGGGGGCGCGGGGCGAGCGGCATGGCCGCGGCAGGTCAGGATCGCGCAGAAGACAACGCGTCCGCTGCAATGACCTTCGGACCATTCCCTGGCCTGCGGGCCCCGCCCGCCCTGGCCTGCGGGCCCCGCCCGCCCTGGCCTGTGGCCCCTCCGCGGCCTGCGCCCCTCCCTGGCCCTGGCCTGCGGTCTCCTCCGCGGCCTGAGCCCCTCCCCCCCTCCCCCTGGCCCGCGGGCCCCTCCCCGGCCTGTGGCCCCCCCCTGGCCCGCTGCCCCCCGTGCGCGCTCGCCCCGACCCGTGGGTCACGCGCGTGGCCCTTGCCTCCTCTCCCTCTTCAGGCCGCGGCCTGCCCCGCAGGGCCAAGTCCCGAGGGGCGGCTTTTGGGGTTCGCGGGGCGTTGGCGCGTGGCGCGGGTCGGCCGCTAAACCGCGGGGCGTGAACAACACTTGCGGATAGCTCAACGGATAGCGCTTAGTGGACCAGGACGCAGCACGACCGCATTGGAGGGCGGGGGGCGGGGGGGGGGGCGGGGGCCAGTGGGCAGTTCCTGCTGACTCTGCGCAGGACGCTCTGTCGGTTCCGCCGAGGGCGCCAGCACACGGGGGCAAACATCACGCGCCCAAGCGTGGCCGATGGGGCATATTCTGCGGGTGTCGATGGGGACGCGTTGTGAACAGAAGAGCTTTGGGAGCCCCGTGCAGAACCATCCTCTCCGCGCCTCTCCCCCCGTGCCCGCCTCCTCTCGCAGGGGTCTTTCCGCCCAGAGCGCCCCGCTCCTCCCCCGAGCAATTTGGCAGTTGGAATCACTGGAATTTCGGGGATAGGGATGCATCTTTAAGGAGGCGATGTATTCGGACGCGCGCCTGCCGAGCTTGGGCGCCCCACCCAGACTGCATCGCCGTCGCCATTTTAGTTACAACTCGTTGGAGGTTACAGACAGCATCGGCGCCAGTGTATCCTTAAGCGAGACCCGTCCCAGCCCACATCCCGCTTCTAGTCTGGTTCGGCGTCGCCCAAATTCGGTCACATGATGGATGTTGGTGTGGCCCCATCTGGCTCCATGGTCCCTTCATCCCTTTTTTTTGCACCCAGACCTTCCAGGAGTTGATTGCTGCCACCCTCTCACCGTGACGCGCGCGGGCGGCCCTCTGGAGCCGCGAGGAGCTCGATCGCCCCGCCCCCGCGGGACAGGCGGCAGCCGCGCACGCGGCTGCCCTCCGCCCCCCCGCGTGCGAAGAAGCCGGGTGCCCGCGGCCTCGCGGGCCCGGCCGGCCCCTGGGCCGCGCCCCCGCGGGTGCGCGGGGGCGCTTTTTGGTCCGCGGGTGCCCCGCGTGTGCGTGCCCGTGCGACCGCGCATCCGCGGGGCCGCGCCCGCGAGGGCGCGGACCCAGACCCCCTCGAGCAATGAACAAAATCATGACGGGAGGTTTTCCTTCATTTTCGGCCTCCGGGGGCCCTCGCCGGGCCTCGGGAGCGTCAAAAAACGACTCAGGATGCAAAGCCGGTCATGGGGAAAGGGTCGGGACCTCTGGGGGTCGACGTGACGAAAAAAACATTACGTCGGGGGTCTGGGGATGCAGAATATGCACGCGGCCCCGACCCCCCCGGCGAGGCGTGGGCGCCCGGCAAGTACGGCAAGAAGTGGTGAGCGCCGAGAGCAGCACCGTGCGCCGCGGGGGTGCCTGGCTCGCTGCCCCGGCGGGGTGGCCACCAGTGACGATCGGGCGGGTGGTAATGGGGACTGGCCGGAACATGTGAGTGAAGATGCAGGAAGATGCAGGGCTCTGCAGCAGGGGCCCAAACAGATCGTTAGAGGGCCCCTGTGGAGCCCTTATCTTCGCCCCCCATTCAGGTCACCCCCAATTACCACCCGCGGAAACGTTCCTCCGCTTCCCGTGGTCGCATTCCTGGTCCCCCACGGCCCTCGAGGGCCCCCAGGCGGCCAGCAACGGTATGGAGTGTTCCGCCGTTTTGTGGTTGTGGTTGCAGCGAGAGGAGGCCTGAGCGGGTCCGCTTGCGGAGGCCGTGCATCGAAGCGGGGGGAGGCCCGTGTGGTTGTGGTCGCGACGAGGGGAGGCCTGTGCATCTCTGCTCGAGCACCTCCTGCCCTCACCCACTTGTCAGTATGCAGCGCCTGGGCCGGGCGGAAGGGTAGGATAGGGAAAGGTGGGTCACGAAATCAGTCGTAAGCAGTTGGTCTCCGCCCCGCCGCCTGGCCCATTCCTCGATGCATGGGCGCCCCCTGGCGCCAGGAGGCGCCAGGACAACAAGTTACGTGAGCTGCTTCTGTACCCTTTCATTCCTTCCGAAACTCAGCATCGGTGCTGTATCCCCACGACATAATCATTGTGTTGTTTCCTTCTATGCACGGCTTAATCCTGCTTGATATTTTGGGCCACATCGGGGCCAAGCTGGTTTAGTGGCCAATGTATTAACCAGGTGTGATCGCCTTCACTCGTGTTTTCAGGAAGGCCTCGCAGACGGTGCATCCTGACCCTGGTCTCTCTTGGTAGACGAAGAACACTTCCGAATGCGCGGCCTCGCCGCGACCCCGCGGACACCGGGCGTTCGTTCGCGGATGCCCCGCGCGAAGCGTGTATCCGTGCGACCGCGTGTCCGCGGGCTCGCCCCAGACGTCAGACCGCGAGGCCGTCGATGTGGATGATGCGTTCGCCGCTCGGGATCTCCGCTTGTGCACTCCCTGCTCCCCCCCCCCTCGGCCCCGGCGCGCCCGGGACGGGCTGGCAGCTGGACTGCCCATGGTGCCAGGTGCTTGTCGAGGGCGGCGGCGCCGGCCGCCCCCTACCGTGTCTGGGAAGGCACTGCGCCGAAAGCGGCACACCTCTTATTCTGTCGGCGGCGAGCGAAGGGGGGGGGAGTGAGAATCGGGTGTTGCTAGAAGTGCCCTTGGCCCAAGGTACCCCCAGGGTCTCGCGGGCTGGCCCAGGCGGCCTCCAGGGCATCCCTCACGAGGCCCAGAGGACCCCAGGGGCTCCGAAATGGAGCGAAAAGCTGGGAGCACCTTGGGCCAGGGGCACTTCTAGCAACACCCGAGAGAAGGAGAAGGCGCTCTCAGAAGGCAGTGGGACTTCTCAGAAGCCCTCGCGCCTTCTTTAGAAGTTTCCAGTGTCTTCGGGGAAGGCTTAGGAAATTTCTCAGGAGGCTGGGGGACTTCCGAGCCTTGTGAGAAGGCCCGCCCCTTCTCACTTCCCCCCTCGCTCGCCGCCGATTTTTATGGGGGGAAGAAGAGCATCGATGACACGCTGCCGATGGCCAGAGCAGGAAATGGTACCAATACGGCTACCCTGCCGCCCTCGTTTTGGCCTTTTTGGACCTCCTTCGCCGCCACGGCTGGACTCGCCTCACAATTTTGGTCAGAACGCACCCCTGGAGAGGTTTGGGGAGTAGTGGTATGGGTACCTGGGAGCAAGGGCGCCCTCGAGGGCGCGAAGTTATTCGCGCTTCGCGGTTCGGCTCCGATTCCTCCTCATCCTCCTCTTCTCCCCTGGAAGGCGGCGCGAGAGCGCGAAGTGATTCGCACTTCGTGCCTCGCGCAGCGCGAAGCGCGCAGTTGGGAGCCCCTGTGGGAGCCCGTCAAAGTCTTTGATCAGGATCCCGGCTGCGCGCAGGCGGCCCACCCCCCGGAGGTAGCCCCGGCCAGCCCCAACAGGCCGCCGAGTAGCCCAGGGCGGTCTCAGCCAGGCACCCCCTCCCGGCGGCGCCCCTGGGGCGCCCCGCGCCGCGCTCCAGGGTTGAGGTGTTGAGCCCCCCGCGCTACTCGGGAGGCCCGTGGAGGCCAGCCAGGACTGCCTGGGGCCCAGGCCCCTACAAACGGGGTGTTGGCAAGCGGGGTGGTAGCGAAGGGGCTTCTACGAGCAAGTACAGGGTGACAGGGCAGTCACCTCGCACTAGTGCGTGGTGATAAATCAGGACGACAAGATCGGGGGGATTACCTCGCACTTGCGCGCGGCAGATCAATTCTTCGGAGGCACAATTAGAAACGAGCCCTTGGCTACTACCCCGATGACAAACATTCCGTTCGCAGGGCCTTGGGGGGCGGTTACCTGCGAGCCGCCCGAAGCCTTGCGAGTGTTGCTCCCTCTGTGTGGTCCGAGGGCAGCCGTGCTCCGTGACGCGCCGATGGGGACCCCCCACGTCGGCGCGGCACTGCGAAGGGCCCGTTGAGACCACGCGGACTCCCTCGCCCGGCTGGGCTCCGCTCGAGATCGGTCCCCCCCCCCGCGGGGTGCATCCTGACCCGTTGCCCGATGAGGATCCAGCCGTGGCGACTCGCCGAGCGCTTTCCGATACTCGCAGAGTGCCTAACCATGAATGCCCCGCGGCGGATCGAGATCCTCTGCGAGTAGCCACTTTGCGAGTAGCGGAGCGCGCTTGTCCAGCGACGAGAAGCCTCCAGGAGGCCCAGACTCTGGGAAGGGCCGCCGTTGGAGGCCGCTTTCTCCTCCCCAGAAAAAGGCGTGACCTGGGGCGTGCCCCCCTCCTCCTGCTCCTCCTCGTTCTCCTCCTCCGCTTCCTCCTCCTCCTCCTCCTCCTCCTCCTCCTCCTCCTCCGCTTCCTCCTCCTCCTGCTCCTCCTCCTCCTCCTCCTCCGCCTCCTCCTCCTCTTCCGCCTCCCCCTCCTCCTCTAGTCACGTCACGATTCGCGCGCCAGCGCCGTCTGGAAATGGCTGAGAATGGCTAATTCCCAGACGGCGCTGGCGCGGATCGTGACGTTACCAGGGGGGTGGGAGGGGGCGGGGGCGGGCCGGTCACGGGCGCTATCGCGAGTAACAAGAGAACGGGATTTTGTCGGAGAGCCGTAAGACTCGAAGAGGCCGGAGCTCGGGTTCGCCGACGCCTTTGGGCGGGCCCGTCCCGAGTTGTGGCGGCCCAGTTTTCGTGGGATGCTTACCGCTGCAGCTCGCGCCAAATTCCAGGCGGGGTACCCTCATGCTCCTGACGGCCCCGCCGTGCTGACCCGAGCGCCCCGGACCCGAGTTTCACGCCTCCCGTGTCGTGTCTCAACCAGCCCTCTTCTCCGCCACACGAAGAAATATGCACAGACGCCCTCCACTGGATTGCTCCTGGGCCTCAGGGGAGGGTGGCGGTGTATCACCATTGAGAGCCGTCGACTTTCTACACGGTCCCCTCCCTGAAGGTGCATGCGAAGGTCGTCGGAGGGTGTCTGTGTATATGGGGCACTCCAAAAAGGTCTTGCCTCTGACGATCGAAGGAGTTGTCATCTCTTCCGCCTCAAATCGGCGGAAGGTCGGCGGAAGTAAAACAAGACCGCTTCCGCCAGTGGAAGCCGGTGGAAGCTCGGCGGAAGGCGGCGGAAGTACACGATGCGCCCCCAGGAGATGAAAACGTTTCTGGGCTCAGCGGTTTCCGAACTCGCCCATCGACATTCGTGGCGCATCCTCCGAGAGTCGTCGGGCGCTGCTTCTGCCCGCCCACCCTATCAGTTGCTGCGCCCTCCGCGGCGGGCCCGCATTCAGCGGGCCACCAGGCGCGCGGGCCACCGCCCTCCCGGCCGGGGCCCATACAGAAAAAGCGGAGCGGGCGGGTCTTGCAGGCAGGTTGGAGGAGGAGGCGGAGGAGGGCGGGGATGTTCGAATCAAGCAGTGGCGAAGCGTCCCGGCTCGCCTATAGCCCCACCGAAGAATGTTTTAAGATTTTGTTGTGTGGTATGCACGGAATGTTCTTAGAACGTTTCTGGTTGAGACTGCCTTGGTTTGACACATCGGGTTAATGTTCTAAGAACATTGTTTTTGTTCTTATAACATTGCCGGGTTCTAAGAACATTTCGTGGTAGGACTATAGGAATGCCGGGACGGTCGGTCCCTGCTCAATCGAAGGGGAAACATCGCCATTGAACATACACTTTTGGCGCTCCGCGCGGACTTCTTGGGTCTGTGCTGGGCCCCCCCCCCCTCCCCGGCGCGCGGAGCGCGGCAGGAGCGGCGCCGGTCCAGTACAGATTTAAGAAACCCGCCTTGTGGCGAGCGAGAAGGATGAGGAGCAGCAGCAGGAGGAGGGGAGGATGAGGATGCGAAGGAGGCCTCTCGATGGCTTCGAGGAGGAGGCCTTTCGATTGCTTCCTGGTCCTCGCAACTCTGGGTTCCGAGATGCCCTGAGCTGAGGTGGTCAGGCCATTTTCGCCTGAGACATGCTCGCAACGCTGACCTCATAGAGGCATTGCCCTCGTCGATCCTCATGCTCGATCCCCAATCCTTTGGGGGGCTCTTCCTCGATCTTGCATTCTTCTGCGTTCACCTCCTGCCTCTTCCCCTTCTCTTAGGCACGCCCTGGCTGCGCCGCGCCAGCTTCCCCTTCTCCTCCTCCTCCTCCTCCCCCTCCTCCTCCTCCTCCTCCTCCTCCCCCTCCCCCTCCTCCTCCCCCTCCTCTTCCCCCTCCCCCTCCTCCTCCCCCCTCCTCCTCCTCCCCCTCCCCCTCCTCCTCCTCCTCCTCCCCCTCCCTCTCCGATCCCGCCGTCATGCTCCAAACGACCTTTCAGTTTTTGTTGTAGGAATCTGGGCACACACGTGCCACTTCCTGGCACGTGTGCCCAGGCACATACAAATACAAACAACTGAAAGGTCGTAAGCGGGGTTGCCGCACGTTGCGATGTGTGTACTGCCCGCCTCAGGAGGCCTGACCAGGATGCCGGAAAATATTCCAGGAGGCCCCAGGAGTGGTCGTTTGGGACAGAGGTTGCGAGGATGTCCATGGAGGCCTCAGCAGGCCGCGGGAGGCCCATGGAGGCCCCAGGAGGCCCCAGGAGGTTCCAGGAGGCCCCCAGGAGGCTCCGAGGCGGTGTCTGGGGTACCAGAAGGTATCTCGGGGCTGGATTTTCGGAGGATGTCTCAGGCGAAACCGCGACTCTCTGAGAATCGGAGTCAAAATCATGGAAATTACATTGTGTGTTGTGAAGGTTGTATGTTAGAATGTTGAAATTCCTATGTGTTTTGGGCCCGTCACGATCGGTGTGAGTGGTGCCACCGATGTTCAGAATTTCGAGGATGTCCCTAGCGAAACGGCCAGAAAGATCGTGGACGCGGCGCGGCCTTCAATTGATCGCCTCTGAGCTCTACTCCCTCGGAGAGGTGTGTATGATAATGTGTATATCTATAAATGTGTGTGTGTGTGCATATATATATATGTAAATATAATAAAAACATTGTCTGAGGACGATTTTCTATGATTTTTAAACTATCTTTGAGTATGCTTCGATAATTTTCATGTTTCGTCCAAGGTCCGCCTGTAGGGGGACATGCCCGACCTCATTCCAGATGTGCAAGTCGCTCGCGGCAGCCTGCGCCGCACGAGTGTGGGGCGGAGAGCGGAAGGGTCCTGCAGGCAGGGCGGGGAGGGGGAGCGGGCGGGTCCTGCGGGCCGTCATGTCCGAGGGCCTCGCAGGGCCTGCAGGCGCTTCCAGAGGCCTCCGGAGATCTCCTGAGGCCTCCGGGGACCTTTGCAGAGGCCGCGGCGGTCGTCGTCGTTGTCTTCGCCGTTGTCGTCGTCCTCGTCGTCGTCCTCGCCCTCGTCATCGTCCTCGTCTTTGGCTTCGTCGTCGTCGTCGTTTCCGAAGGCCTCGGAGGGCCTCGAGGCGCCTCCAAAGGCTTCCGGAAACTTCTGAGGCAGCCAGAGTTTTCTGTAGACCTTCAAAGCGGACGTCGTCGTCGTCGTCGTCGTCCTCGTCGTCGTCCTTATCCTGGTCCTCGTCCTCGTCGTCATCGTTTCCGAGGGCCTCCAGACGCCTCCAGAGGTTTTCGGAAACAGGCTTCTGGAAACCTCTTCAGACCTCTAGAGACTTTTGGACAGCTTCAGAGGCGGTTGTCATCGTCGTCGTTGTTGTCGTCGCCATCGTCGTCGTCGTCGTCGCCGCCGTCGTCGTCGTCGTCGTCGTCGTCGTTTGTCGTCGTCGTCGTCGTTGCTCTTTTCCTCATCCTTGTCATCTTCGTCGTCATCGTTCCCTTCCTCGTCCTTCCCGTCCTCGTCGTCATATTCCTCGTCCCTGGTCTCGTCATCGTCGTTATCTTCGTCGTCGTCTTCGTCGTCGTCGTTTGTCGTCGTCGTCGTCGTCGTTGTCGTCCTGCCTCTCTGCCTCATCCTCGTCGGTCGTCTTCATCGTCGTTCCTTTCCACGCCATTCCCGCTCTCGTCGTCGTCTTCGTCGTCCCTGGTCTCGTCGTCGTTATCATCTTCGTCGTTGTCTTCGTCGCTGTCGTCGTTGTTGTCGTCGTCGTCGTCCCCGTCTTTGTCCTCGTCGTCGTCGTCCTCGACGTCGATGTTGTCGTCGTTGTTGCCGTCGTCGTCGGTCGTCGTCGGTCGTAGAAGTCGTCATCGTCGTGGTCGTCGATTTAGTCGTCATCGTCATACTCGTCCCCGTCCCCGTCCTCGCCCTCGTCCCTGCCGTCGTCGTCCTCCTCGTCCTCCTTGTTCTCGTCGTCGTCCCCGTTTTCGTCCTCCTCGTCGTCGTGGTCATCGTCGTCGTCATCGTCGTCCTCGTCGTCCTCATCCCCGTCCTCGTCTCGACCCCGTCTTCGTCCCCGTCGTCGTTCTCGTCGTCGTCGTCGTCGTCGAGGGCCTCGAAGGGCTTCCAGACGCCTCCAGTGGCGGCCGCCGCCGTCGTCGTCCTCGTCGTCGTCGTCGTCGCCTTCTTCGTCGTCGTCTTCGCCCTCGTCCTCGGCGGCTTCGCCCCCGTCGGCCTCGTCCTCGTCGTCCTCGTCCTCGCCGTCGTCGCCCCCGCCCTCGCCCTCGCCGTCGCCGTCGTCGCCGTCGTCGTCGTCGTGGTCCTCGTCGCCCACGAGACCTCGGCCTCCCCGCGCGGGGCCCCTGCGGCGCTGCCACCGCCCCGCCGCGGGGGCCCCCCCAACTTCGGGAGGGACAAAAACACGCAGACACAGTGAATCGTCGACCCCCAGGAACATATGGGAAACTATGGGAAGTCGACCCCCGGGAACAGATGGGAAACTATGGGAGGTGGGGGGGAAGGCAGAAGCCCAGAACATATGGGAGGATGTGGGGAATCGTTTCATGTGTGTGTGTATTTCTTTGTGTGTCCTGGGGCCCCTTTCACAACTCCCGACCCCACCGCAGCAGACGCTGCGGAGCGGGGGGCGGGGGCGAGAACAAAAATATCCCCGTGGGAGCGGAGGGGCTGGCTCGGCGGCGGGCGAAAGGGGGGGAAGTGGGAGGGAGAAGGCCCTCTCGGAGGGCTCGGACGTCCCCCGGCCCTCCGCGAAGTGCTCCGAGCCTCCCCCGAAGACGCGGAAAGCTACTCAGAAGGCGTGAGGGTTTTTGAGAAGTCCCGCCGCCTTCTGAGAAGGCTTTTTCCTCCTCACTTCCCCCCCCCTCACTCGCCGCCTGATGGGGGAGAGGGAGGTCATAAAAAGAAACAGTCTCGTTGGGGGAGGAGGGGAGGAGAGCATAACAAAAATTCTCGTAGGGGGAGGGGAGCAGCAAAAACACATTCTCTTTGGAGGGGAGGGGAGGGGCTGGTGGAGAGGGAGGAGGAAGGCAGTGAGCAGGAGCGAGGAGACGCGGCACCACCACCAGCGGCCGCCAGCTGGAGCAGCTGGAGTTGGATCCCACCTGGTGGTGTGGCCCCCGCCTCTCGCTCGAAGCATCCCCTGCGCCCAGCTCCGGGAGGCATCGAGGACCTCCTCACTCTTTACAGTGGAGGCTCATTCCAAGAAACACCCTGCTTGCCTCCAGGGTGCCCTGAGTTTCTTGGGGTTCAATGGTTTTGCGACGGAAAGCGTGACGTTCCCACTTCAAAAAACCATGGACGTTTTGGGGTATCTCAGGGTTGGGTTTCTCGTGGAAGGTTTCTTATGGATTGGCCTCCACTGTACCCCGATGAAGATGATGGGGCAGGCAGAACATGAAGGGGAGGGGTCGAGCAGGGACGATAGAGAAGGCTAGAGAGGTAGAGGAAGATTCTTTAGCAGAGCGTAGGAGCCTTGTATTCCCTCGTGGATCCGCCTTCAGGGTACACCAGCGTCGATTAGCGCGTGGTAATATATGACATAGCGCCGACTTAGCGACGATTGGCGTCGATTTAGCGTCGATGAGCGTCAGTGCAGCGTCGGTTAGCATCGACTCGCAAGAGCCAACAAGATAACACGCGCAGCTCCCAAGAGTTGCCACCGAGGCGAGAGGTGGAGAGTCCATACATCTGAGGTAAAGACGGAGATGATGGGAAGTGGGAGGCGGGAAGAGGTGGCAATTATCACGGGTAGCGTTGGGGGGCGAGCACCGTTCACACGGAGGCAGCTCAAGAAGTTGAGCCAGGTGGTCTGTGTGGACCACGAGGTCGTTCCAGGCGACGCCCTCTTGTTTTGTTGCTCCTTCTCCCTGCTCGCCCGACTGCCCCGCCAAAGCGTGAGGAAATCCGGAGGGAGACACAGAGAGGGAGAGAGAGAGAGAGAGAGAGAGAGCGAGCTTGCCTCGGGCGGACCCCAACACGAGGGGGCAATAAGTGTGTGTGTGTGCGTGGGGGATCAAGGATTGCAGGAGCACGGCCCAACAGGGGACCCACATCGCC